AGATCAAAGCATAAAAACATTAGATACCAGGTCTTTTAAAAATTACTATTAAAAGTTTAAGTATAAGTACTATTTTTAATTTTAAGTACTATTAAAAATTTAAGTATAATTAAGTTTTTCATTCAAATGGTTTTTAAACTGATGTTTTCATTCAATTTTTTTTATTCTAATTGTTTTCCAAAAAAAAAGTGAAACAAAAATTTTTATTTAATAAATCGAATTATATATAAGTATAAGAATATGCTTAAAGTATTTTTTTAGAAAAAAATTTTTTCCAACAGAAGTAAAATAATTTATTAAATTTAATTTAAATTTTTTATAATTTTTATTTTAACTTGCAATTTGCAATCACTGCATTGATGTTTGCAATAGAATGTTTCTACTTATAAAACTAATTTCAAGAAAAAATATATAGTTCAAAACGTTAAAAAAATTTTAGATTTAAGAAAAAAAAACTCTCCCTTGTTTCATCAAACTTTTTTTAAATTTTTAAATTCTTTTTAAATTTCAAATTTCAATCACAAAATTTTTTGAATAAGTGAATTTTAAGGCTAAAGTTCTCTTGTTAAATTGACTTCTTTTTAAAATAAAATTCCTGAAAACAATCGCGTATTTATAGAAAATGTTTAGTCTAGATGTCGCTATAAATAAAATGAAAATACAAAAAAATGGTGTCGCGTTTTTCATACTCTATTCGACAATTTTTGTTAAAATAATTATTAGTTAAAAGCTTATATTATGTGTTAACAACATGTAAGATCTAATTGAAACATGTCTATGGCTAACTTTTGCGAGTATATTAAATAAATTAATATAATTGTTAAATTAATACTTAAGTAACTGTAAGTTACTATCTTAACTTAACTGGTTGTTTTGATTTAGGTCATAAGTTAATTTACTGTGATATACTGTATCCATTTAGTAAAGTTAACTAAATATAATAATAGTTTCAAGGTCGTTAAAGCGAAAAACGTGAAAAAAAGTTGCTGGTTTATTTTAGCACAATTTTACTAATAGAAATTTTATTTAATAAAAACGAATTTATATATATTTTATTATACTTAAAGTAGTAAAAATAGTTATATAAAATTGTTTATGAAATAACAAATTAAATCATTATTATTAAGTTAATTTGGAGCAACGTTTCTTTTAAAAAAAGATAAAAATGCTGTTTTGTTAAAGAAATAGAATGAAGAAAAAATTCTTTTTAACTTTTGTCTTTTTAATTTGCTTCTACACAGAGATTTAAAGTAGTTTAAATTAAAAAGTACTTTACGTTGAATAAAAATCTCTGCGCGAAAGAGCAAATGATCATGCTTCTATTCAAAAGACAAACTTTGCGTGACGTACTTTACTATGAAAACATTACTTTAAAGAATTGCCAAAAAAAAAGCTAAATTAAAAAATAGTAAATAAACAACTAAAAAAGTAAACCAATTGCGAAAATATATGTTTTAAGAAAAAAACTAATCGCGAAGGTGTAAAAAGCAATCGTGATTCGCGATCGCAATATGCTTAATTCGAGCCCTGTATATATATACATATATATATATATATATATATATATATATATATATATATATATGTATATATATATATATATATATATATATATATATATATATTATGTTTATGTAAATATATACTGTAGAAAATGGTCTAGAATAGCCCCTGTTTATATATATTTAATATATATATATTTATGAATGTATATATATTTATAAATTTATTTATAAATATATATACATAAATATATATATTAAATATATATATATATATATATTTATAAATTTATTTATAAATATATATACATAAATATATATTTCAACACTGGAAAAAACTTTCAAATTAATATTTCAACACTAGAAGCACTTTTCTTAAAGGACATTATGATTGAAGATAATACTAAAATTTATTTTTGAAAAGCAATAATAATAAATATAAGTACTATTGAGACTTCTATATTATTTGACTGATTAAACCTTCATTGTTTATTTTTGAAAAAGTTTCACTTAGGCTGTCCCACTAAAACTTATGTAGCTTTTAAAATATTAGAGATAATTTTGTTCTGTAAAAAATTTAAAAGTAATAAAATTTAAAAGTAAAAAAAATTTAAAAGTAAAAAAAATTTAAAACTAATAAAATTTGTCAGATTTTGATCTACAAAAAAATAATTGAAACCTTTCTAGAAAAAACCCTTCTAGAATATCTAGAAAAAAAGCACAGATTTGTCAATTCAAAAATTTATGTATATATATTTATTGAAACAGTTTTAGGTCAATTTCAATTAATTTATCCAACTTTTTATCAAAAAACTAAAGTTCTATATTTTTGATATTTATTATTTAATATAAAAAGTTTTAGATTAATTTAAAAGCCAAAAAAAATCTACTTTGACATTATGCGAACAGGTTCAGGAGTAAATAACCAGTTAAAAAATTGCAATAAACATGTTGGAGATAATGTTTTTAAAAGAGTTTGATCTGGAAATTAAATAAATTTTGAAATATTTCTGATATTTTAGCTCTATGAAATGATTTCCACATTTTTAACTTTTTGTTTGCATACTATTTATAAGATGTAGGAGGATCATAATAAATAAAAACACTTAAAACCAAGTTCAATAAAATTCAAGACAAAAATTAAGGATAAGTTTTTCACTTTTCCTCACATTCAATCATAGAATATCATTTACTTGTATTATTCTTATAAAAAACTTTCTAGCAAGTTTAAGTTTGCTAGAAAAATCATTTTACACATTTTAATCATTTTAATTTTTTAATTTTTTTTTTTTATACATTTAATCATTGGTAGAAACCAATTTCCCATTCCATTCTTTTATCTAACAATTTTTTTTTTTTTAAAATCAAGATTTAGTAACAACAAACAGCAGTGCTTATGTAATTGTGAGGTAGGTTAGAATCAACTAATTTTAAGTCAATAATCAAATTAGCATCTAAAATAAAAAAAAGTTACATATAGTGAGGAAATATATCTAATAACAAAGCAATCTAGCATTAACATTTTGAGTAACAGTTTGAAACTTTAAAATTCATTTATAAATCTTTTATTTTTATCAGTTTTTTTAAATTTTATTATATTTATAATAAGTCTGATGACCTCAAACAAGGCAAAGATCTTTTCTATAAAATGAATTTTTACCTTGCTTAGAAGACACAAAACACTTTTCTCAACTTTTCTGCAGAAATGTTAAAAATTGCTAAATCTGTTTCTTTGGATAATCTGAATAAAAGATTGAGAAAGACAAAAGTTTTGAGTTTTAAAGCCAGCAGGGAGAGACATGAGAAAAAAAAGGTAAGACAAGTGATTAGGGTTGTCAGTAAAATGATTCACAAGTTCATTATCTGAGTAATACTAATAAAAAAGTTTAAGTGCCAACAGGGTTAAGCCACGCAGTGTGATAAGAGTTAATCATTAAAAAATATAATTATTTTGGACTATAGAAATCTCTTGACAGTATACATATAAAATACTTAATACCTTACCTTAACAGTTTTATTTTACTACGGTATTGCAGGCTCACAATACAAAAGTTATAAAAAAATATCTTGTATCTGTGGAATGGCATTTTTTTTGTTATATCACACAGAAAAAGTGCTTGTGATGGTGTTGGATATTCTGTCTAAGGACGCGTAGCAAGTCCAAGTTTGTATTACTAATAGATGCTATAGTATGATTAGATGCATAGATGTAAAGTATGATTAGTGTCTACAAAATATCAAAATATTATAATTACTAGTACTTTATAATTATACTTATACTTAATTTAAAAAAAAAAAGAAAATAAAAGTAGCGATAAAAGAAGAAGCACAAAAAGAACATAAATGCAAAGACATAAAGAGAAAAAATTTTGAAGCAGTGATGTACTAATGAAGGTAGAATTAAATCTGAAGAAATAAAATGCCAAGTCTGATAAAAAGAAAGAGCGTATGTTTATTTTGCAATGGATTTGATTTATGGTTCTTGGAATAGTCAGCATAAACATCAAAAGTGAGACATAAAGTAGTATATAAATAAGGCTACTTTGAGATTTTTAGGAAGATTGATTAAGAGACAAAGCAAGACCTGGGATAAATTGTTATTGGATCCCCTAAAATTACTTTCTATTAACTTTAATGCTGCAGTTGGAAAATTATTTTAAAAACCTTTTAAATTAAAAATTAGGTTAGGTTTTGGAATAATTAGTGAGAAATCAGGAAAAAATTACTCCTCAACTTATAATGGTTGTGCAACCTATCAGGAAAAAATCAGGTAAATCCATTTTGCAATATCCATTTTGTTTATCACCCTGTTGCATCCTTTTTATGAAAGCACACAAGTAAAATGCATATATTAATGAGTTCTGTCCAACAACTTTTTGTTGTACAGAACTATTTTTTACTTGTACAATTTGTTGTTTAATAAATAATGTCCTTTTTTCATCCTTTTTTTTTAAATAAATAATAGTTTTTATCTGCTAAAAGTAGCTGATGAAAATGCTATGTTTCTTAGTTTAAATGCAGGCTGCTATAACAAATATACATAATCTATTCCAAAAATCTAATTTTTTTTTGTAAAAATTAAATCTCTATTCAAATTTGTAATTCTCACTTAAAAATTTTTCATTTGCAGATTTCCTATACATAAAATTTTATTTAAAAAAGTGTTAAACATGAACCAAAACATAAACCCTGTTTAAAAAAATAGCTGCAAAGAGGATATACAGATTGAGTGTAATACTTCCAAGGAAGTAGGGTGGATTTAAACCTTGAACCTCTTGATTGCAAGCAAAAGATTCTATCACTGTTACTTCATTTTGATACAAAAATTTGATTATTGTATGGTATCTGTCTTATGTTCAAGGGTCTTGATTTATGTTATATTATGTTAATAATATTGTCTATATTTTTTATTTATTTTTATATACACATTTAAAAAATAAAGTTCTTAACAAATCTTATTCAATTTTTTAACGATGATAAAATAAATTATTTTGGTAGATTTATTCAAGGTTTTGGTTCTGACAAATGCTATCGGTTTCAAGATTGGAATTATATCGATTCATTTTGTTACTTCAGTCATAATCTTGTTACCATTCCTCCTCCTTGCTGGACAAATGCAGCTCACATTCATGGTGTGAAATCACTAGGAACATTTATTACTGAATGGCAAGATGGAGCAAGAGCCTGTGCAAGTATTTTTTCAGATATCAGCTCAGTGAAGCGTTTTGCAAAAATTTTGGTTGAAATAGCTTGTTATTATAATTTTGATGGTTGGTTAATTAATATTGAAAATGATATTATAGTAAGTAATTCAAATCTGTTTTAAAGTTAAATAATTTTTTTTGTTGAAAAAATGTTAAATAATTTTTTTTTCTAAATGGGATTTGAAAATGTAGAGACTAGGGATGGCAATCCTGGAATCCCGGGATCCCAAAATCCCGGGAATTCGTACAAATTGTTCAATTTGTAGACTAATCCCGGGATCCCAAAAATCCCGGGATTAGTCTACAAAACTTCCCGAGATTTCGGGATCCTATATAATAAAATTAAAAGAATATAATAAATAAAATTAATGTATAACTTTTATTAAAAACTCTTGCTCTTTCCAGTTTTTCCATTACCCAGCCAAAAATATTTACTTGGGTAATGGGTAATTTTAAATTTACCAGGGTAATACCTGGGTATTACCTTGATGATTTTTTCAATTAGATGTTACAGCAGCCATTAAATAACCTATAGGGTGTAAATTTAGTCAATGTCGATTAAAAAAAACAAGTTTCAAAAAGGCTAAATTAAAGAAGTTTTTTAACTTTTATCTTTAAACTAAATTTTTCTTTTTTTTAAGTTTTTTGTACGAATCTATTTCTTATTTTCATGGCAAGATTTCTACTTTTACTTCTTTGTGAACTTCACAAAATCTTCGTAGTATTTTAATAATGCTATTCCATCGCGTTTTACAATCTAAAAATAAAGTTATCTAAAGGACTGAATATTTAAAGATTAAAGATTGTCATCATTTTTGAATGGGGACTTTCTGAAGACTTTAACAATTTTACGAATTTTACCAACAATAGCACCAAAATCAAAAACTAGGTTTGTCTCAGTGTCTAATTCATCACAGGCCTCTATTGTTTTTTCTTAATTCTCTTTCTCTTCAGTTCATAATTTAAATTTTTTATCATAAACTAAATTATCATTTATCTTATAAGGCCTCTAAAGTATATCACGAATAGAAAGATAGACTACTTGTGCAAGACAGCCAACATGAATGGGACTGGTCTTTTTCCAGAATTTCATCATAACACTCTTCCCACAGTGATTTTGCTACAATATTGTCCGAATCCAATTTAGACCATCTTGACTTAAAAAGTTGAATAGCTTTTTTCAGTGTTCATGCTTCCGTTGACACGGATCATTCTTAGAGATTGAAAGCCACCTAAACCATGTAAGTTCAGATTCATAAAACAACGCTTTCTGACTGAAGTGGATTCGTCAAAGCTTATAGAAAAATGACCTTCTTCTTCTTGAATTTTTTGAATGTCTTGCTTAATTATGGTGATAATTTTACCATATTCTGCCATAAATTGATCTCTGATATTTTGAGGGCTTTTTGAATAATATTTTTAAAATTACCCGGGTAATTTTGAAAAATGACCCGGTTAACGTGTAAGAAAAAACTTTCAAATTACCCGGGTAACGGTTAAGGTAATACCCAGGAAAGAAACACTTATTTATTAAACACATATTTTTTTTTTTTTATAATGTACTAGTTTTAATATTTTGCTATATATAATATATAGTATTATATTAAAACTAGTATATTATAAAAATAGATAAAATTTAAGCGCTTGCTGGTGAAAAGAGCAAGAGTTTTTAATAGAAGGTATACATTAATTTTATTTTGAATTTTCTGCTTCCAAAAGTATGCGCGATTTTAATTCCATTTTTATATCCATTCATTTTAATTTTCAAATGTGTGATTTATGAAAATGGGTGATATACGAAAGTTTTTTTAAAGTCATGCATATTTATATTATTTTTTAGTTCTAATTTTTATTTATACTGTGTTGCCATTTTAAGGTATTGTTTTATAATTTATAATACTTAGGTTTATTAATTTTGAAAAGTCTTAGATAAGTTTTAGTATAAAATTAAGTTAAAACATGATTCAACTTAATTATAGAGGATCATTAATGTATTAAATTAATCATTAAATTAATCATTTTTAAGTGTTTGATGAGTGCTTAAAAAGTATTCAATTGCGTTTGCGTTTTTTTCTATTTAATCCCGGGATTTCCCGGGGACAAATTTCTCAATCCCTAAACCAAGATTGAAAATTTCTGGGATTCTTGCCATCCCTAGTAGAGACATTTTGTGTTTATATCTTAGAAATAAGTTTAACTCAAATAAATTAGTTATCGAGATTTACTTAGAAAAAAAATCAACTAGTTTCTCATGTAAAAAATATATTGTTAAAAATGAAAAGGTTTTTTGTTAATATGTCAATAAATAATTTGTTTTGGTTAGTTTAATAAACTCTGGACTTACTCCAGCTCTGAAAAGGGCAATTGGCCATGGTATTTTAGAAATAAAATTGTCTTAAAGTTTAATCAGATGGTTCAAAATAAGGAGACAACAAGCTAAAAAAATAAAAGTTATTTGGCACCAATTTTGCTATATTTGGGTGGCAAAATATTGTCCGATATTGATTGATCAAAGGAAAATAGGAATGGCACATTTGTTGTTGTTACAAAGAATGGCCTGAAAAAGATGTTGGCTATTCCAAAAATATATTAAGGAACATGTGAAGTTCAAGCAAATGTGTGTATTAAAATTATTGAAAATGTGTATTAAAGTTATCGAGAAATCTGCTTATAACCACATGTGTTAGAATTGAAGCTCTGGTAACTGAAATTGTGTGGAGAGCATGTTGTTAGTGTTTCATGAATGTTATCATTTTAAATGTTTTCATGTTCCTGTTTAATTAACTAAACAGAAACATGAAAATATTTAATATTAACTATATTATTTTAGAAATATGGTTGTTAATGAACAAAGATGTTTATTGAAAGAATATTATAAATTGTCAAGATCCAAAATCAAAGAGCATGCAACATGAAATGCTTTTCTATTTATGCCATGCTTTTGAGGCAAAGCAACCAAATAATGATTATCAGAAATTTTTATATTTATCATTTTTGGTTTGGATGCAAAGGCAGCAAGAAATTTTAAGCTTCCAGTCCAACACATCATGCAAGTTGGGTGGTTGCAAAAGCCATTTATGCACTGAAAATCTTTCTTTTTATGACTTAGCTCAAGTTGACTACTTGTGAATCCAAGAGTATTAAAGATTTTTATCAAGTCTGAAAATTTATTCAAAACAAGACTGTTGCTAGTAAGTTACATAAAGCATTTTAATGGCAAGCCTGGTTTTTCTTTAAGCACAGTTTTCATAGCCAACTCTGGTTTACATGGCTCTTTAAAATAACATTGTGTTATCAGAAACTGGTTTAGAAACTGGATAAGATACTGATCAAGTTTCTAAACAAGTTTGTAAATATATTCTACAGTTACTAATACAGTTAATGTAGCTAAAAGGGGAATCAATCTTATGTACAATGACAAACCAATAAACAACAAAGAAATTAAACTTTATATTTTTTAATTTATTTTAAACTGTCTAAAGGATTGCCTAATTCCATCAAAGACACTACTTTTGTCACAGATTATCCACTGCGGAAAAATTTATCTAAAATTTGTCAAATTAAAAAAAAATAAATCCCTAATTAGACTATAATTTTTTGTCATAAATTTTAATTGCAATTTTAATTTAGTTTATACTTATGATCTTTAGTTTTAAATTGATAATTGACATTTGATTAACTAAAATTTCTAAATATATAGTTTTATTTTAAAACAATAAATTTGAGGTTGCTTTTTTTAATTTTAAAATCTTTATTAAGAAAAGTTTAACCAAATGTTTAAAAAAAAAAACTTTATCTTATGGTTAAAAAAAAAAAGTTAAACCTAATGGTTAAAAAAATAAGTAATAAACATATTATTTAAAGATTTTTATCTAAGTGGCTCTATAAAAGTTAATATATTTAATTCTTTAATATTATATATGTATCTTTTGTAACAATCCTCTTAAAATATTTAAAAGAATTTGAATTTTATTATGATATCAAAAAAATATATATTTTTTATTAAAATGTTTTTTAAGCATTATGTAAAAATCTAATGGTGTATAAATTATATTAAAATTTGATTATATAAAGGTAGAGGATAATTATGCATAACATACACAATTAATAAATTATTTCTTAGTTTCTAAGTTATTGTTATGTTATTATGTTTTATATTGATGCAATCTTTAAATAATAGGCAATTATATAAATTTAAGATTCTCAATTCAATCAATATAGAACAAAGGAATATCAAAGTTGTTTTTATCCTTCTAAGTATTTCATATACTTAAAATCTTAAATAAATAATAGAATTTTTTTGTTACTTATAAAATTCTAAAACAATCATTTTATATTTTTTTAAAAATGATAAGAAAAAAGTAAATGATTTTAGCAGTAGTTTTTATTACTTTGAATTCTTAGTTTTATTATAAGCATGATGATGTCATAAGTATTAACTTGATCATTTTTAATAAATTTAGATAAATATTAGCAATCAATAAAATAAATTATTTTAAGAATAATAGAAAATGAAAGTTTTAATAAACAAATTATATAAAGTATGCATGATTATTTCAATTAATGCTCTGCAGTGCAAATGAAATGGATGTTTCTGGATTAGTTTCAAGAATTCCTGTATCTTTTGTCTTTTGGCTATGCTTATGTCATTTATGGATTATTCTGTCTTCACTTGTCTACATGAAAACTGAAGGCTGTGAAGTGAAGCAAGTTAATCTAGTTGATTTATATTTGTTAAAATTTTTTTCTTCGAACAACCAAAAATTGTTAGATATAACTTCACCAGGTTATAAAGAGTTTAAAGATGGTTATGAACAAGCAAAGAAACAACAAAACTATTGGCAAGTCCGCGGAAAATTCAATGACTTCTCAAAAGTTTATATCTTTGTCTTATCATCTGTAACAACCATAGGTAGGTATTAAATAACAATACTAATAACCATAGGCTATTTAAAATTTGATTTTTTTTTTAATAAATTTATTCTTAAAACTTTATTCTTATAAAGTCTAACTTTAATTATTCAGGCATGGAGAGTATGTTTCTTCAAACCTGGCAATCTCAATGCTTTTACCTTTTTTCTACTCCAGTTGGCTTCATCCTTTATTCCATAATGATATATAAATTTGGGAATAAGTTTTATAATGTTCTTTACACTGCTGCTTCACATATATATTCCAAGGGCTCTCCAATTTGGACAACGGAAGAACATGTGCTCTATAGAAAACTTAAAGTGATGATTATAGCAATATATTTATTTATATTCTATATGTTGCTATTAGCGTTGCTTGCTTTAACAACAGATTATAACTACATTTATGGCATGTATTGGATGCTGAATACAATGCTCACCATTAATGGGCCTTCTCTTGATTGTGTTTATGAATTTTTGCATTTAGGCATTGTAGCATTTATTACAAGTGTTGTTTATTTTTTTGGTTTAGAATTTTTTTATTTGGTTTGTTTGTCCGCTTTTAGTGTTTTTGGTCACGATAATCCTTTTGCATTAATGTCAATATGCAATTGTGTCAATCATGTGGAGGAGTTAGCCATTATCGAAGAGGTAGAGAAAAAACATAATGAAGCAATTTTATATTTGAATGCAAAAATTGCAGCTGAAGCTATACAAATGGAGTGGGATAGTAGTGAACATGCTATAGATTCTGATAATTATTTTTTTCCATCTAACATTAAAAAATATATTACTAGTTCAGACAGTTCCAGTAATGAAAGTTTAAAGGAGTCAAAAAGGCAGAAAAAAAGAAGAAAGCTTACTCCAAAAAATAATCAAACTTTAAAAGAGAAAAATATTGATGAAGAAGTTGTTTATTTTAATGAACCTACATTGGAAATTTCACCTGCCAGTTCTGTTGACTGGCTTGTAGTTGAAAGTGATTGAAGCTTTGTTTTTTATATCATGAAAATATAAAAGTTTATTTTATAAATATTATTTTTTATGAAATGTCATTTTTAAAGAAAAATATTTGTGTGATCTTGTTTTATTTTACTGATACAATTTGATGACCATTGCTTGTATGACCATTGCTTGTATGGTCAAGCTTAGGTTGCATTCTAAGAAATGTATTACGATAAATGCAAAAAATAAATAGACAAACATCAATTTTTTTGTTTTTTTGTTTGCATATCTTTTCAACAATTTTAAATGAATTTTTTTTTTTTTAAGATTTTTTCAAAAGAATCATTTAAAATCTAAATGATAATTTTGTCAGCAAAAGGTATTTTAGTAAAAGTCAAGTGAAAAAAAGTTTATAAATTTTTCTTTTTTAAATTAAAAATTTTATTTCAATTTTTTAATTTTTTTTTGAAAAATCTTTCAAAACATGACCAATCATTTCAAATTGGTTGAAAATTTTTTTTTTTTTAATATAAATTTTGCATAATTACTATATACATGCATGCTATATAAATCATTTAGTTTTGGTATAGGTTTTATGCCAAATTGAATGTTTTTGATAGCATGTTTGATATATGTTTATAAAACTCATGATAAAGAAATAGAAAGCATATGTACTGATAAAGTGCCAATATGTACTGATGAAATGCCAATGGAAGAGTGAGAAGCCTTTTAGGGTAAAAGTGATGCTAAAGTCAATTGAGACTACTTAATCGTATCATATAATTTACTTTGAAAAAATTGACTTTTGAAAAAACATAACATATATGATATATATTTATAACATATATGATATAGTTGTTTTTATATTTATGCAGTAGTTGTAAATTTAAAAAATGACTTGAATGCATCACAGATGAAAAAGTCATATGAATCTGGTTGGGTTCCCACTCAGCATGCATATCAACCAATTATTTTTATGGGCATGATTTTTTTAAAAAGCATAAGTTTTTAAAAACAATCATGCAAAAATAATTAGAATCTTTTTTTTATTTTTGGCCATTCCTTAAAAATTTGAATAGCATTTTTTAATTTTTAGTTTTACTGTGTAGTTTTTAAATTTTTTTAAACTTTTTAAATTTTATCACAAAAGCTGTAGTGTTAACAACTTGTGCTGTTAGAATAATAGGTTTCTATTTCGATTTTTTAGCGTTGTGAGATTTTAACTTTCGATTTTTAATTATTTAATTTTTGTTGTTTATATTGATAAAATATATTTTAATTAAGTTAAAACATCTGTTATAGTATGTAAACTTATCCTTATTAAATAAATAATAGAATTCTTTGTAATAAAATACAATATTTCTAGGGGTTATATATACCCTCGTTATTCAAGTAATATAAAAAAACCTGTCAAAAAAACAAATAAGTAAATAATAAAACTTCAATGTAATGTGTTCTTGCATCTTAAATAGGAAAAATAAGGTTTCCAAAACGACGACATGACTTAATCACCGTCATCTTAATTCAAACCACCATGCTATTTTGTTTTATACCAATTTATATTACTTAATAAATAATAAATAATGTGTATTCTAAACAACCAATTTAACAAATTTGATATTTTGATCTTTTTATTTAAGAAATTTAACAAGTTTTTACTTTTAATTTTAAAAAGTATAACAAATTTTGTTAAATTCTCTCAACAGTACAAAAGATAGAACCCTATTATTCTAATGTTACGAACTGTTAATTGTTACAACTTTAACTTGTAACTAGGCAAATTAGGTCATTTAAGTTAAAAAGTTAATTACTTTAAAATTTTAATGGAAAAATGTTTAAGACTAATTTTCAGGCAAAATTATGAAAAGAACAAATCATTTGGTGTATGTCCCAATGAAAAAAATCCATTTTTAAAAGTGATTTATACTGAAGAGAATACATAGCCAAACCTGTAAAAAATTTTTTTTTCGACTGTGTTCTTCTTTTTAAAAGCTGAACATCTGGCAATCCTTGGTTGGGTCAGGTTTTCCCCCCTTCCTATGTTTATATACCATCATAAAAACAATTCAAATTTATTGATAGATTTTTATGAGATAATGTAATACTATCTGCAATATTATATAACATTGTATAACATAATCTGCAGTATAATATTGTATTGTATGGTATAATATAATACAATCTTTATTATGCACAGTGATTTAGAAACACTTAAAATTTGGCCAAAATATAGTTTTTTGAGTAGCGAAATTTAAACATTATTATTAGCTAATTACTTTCTACAGTTTCTTCTAATTCTAACGGTATAGAAAAGTATGTACTGAAATAATAGATTTAATTATTAATTTTTGTTTCAAAATGACCGAAAACAGCTTTTTTTTTTCATTAAAATTTTATCATTAAAACTTAATTTTCTCCCTAAATACAAAACCTTTCATTTTAATTTATCTTAATTCATAAACAAATTTAAATATATATTTAAACATCTTATAAAAAATGCATTTAAAAAATGCAATTTTTATGAGTTTAAACTGATTTTTATAGTGCTAGACCTTTTTACTTTAGACTTCCTTCGCGAAGCCAAATCTTTTTTTAAAGATAGTTTGTACCATTCTGTTAGAATCTAAAAATGTTAGCTGCCCCAACTTGCCCCATTTTGATATATTGTGGTTTTAAAAAGCTCATTTTATAAAAAAATTAACGATGTAAAAGCTAATATGACGTAAATTAACTTGAATTTTATGTATTGAGAGTTTTTCCCGATGTTTCTGATCAAAACTTTTTAATATGTATATATATGTATATATATATATATATACATATAAAAAAAATGTATATATATATATATATATATATATATATATATATATATATATATATATATATATATATATGTATATATATATATATATATATATATATATATATATATATATACATATACACATACATATATATTAAAAAGTTTTGTTCAGAAACGTCGGGAAAAACTCTCATAAAATTTGAAGTTAATTTACGTCGTATTAGCTTTTACATTGTTAATTTTTTTATAAAATGAGTTTTTTAAAACCACAATATTTCAAAACGGGGCAAGTTGGAGCAGCTAACATTTTTAGATTCTAACAGAATGGTGCAAACTCTCTTTAAAAAAAGATTTGGCTTCGCGAAGGAAGTCAGGCGTACAATCAAGCGCTATTGCTGACCACACAAATGATTTTATTTCTTGACAACTTGACCACGATGGTTTAAATGTTTTGATGATTTAAACATTTCAGAAATGCTTTTAAACAATTTAAACATTTCAGAAATTTAAGATTTTTTTCCTAGTTTTGCATTTCAGAAATGCGAAACTAGGAAAAAAGTTAAAAAAAGAAACTAACGAAAAAATAATCCCTAACAAAAAAGAAATATAAAAATTCTCTACAAAAAAGAAGTTTTATAAACACTAGCATAAAAATAAAAAATAAAAACTTAAATTCAAAGCGAAACTTTTTGTTACGTTTTTAATTACGATTGAAATAAATCTCTTTAAACCTTTTGTTAAAGTTACGCAAAGTGCTTTTAAATTAAGTAACAAGTTGCCACTAATGTTTGTTTAATAAATGAACAAATTTTATCAAATTTATTAAAAGAATGTTGTATATAATATTTTTAAATTGTATAAGCATTTTTTCAAAAAAGTTGCAAAAAAAAAAACAAAAAAAATTGTTTAAAAAATAACGTAGTCTTTTTAAAATAGTAATTTTTAATAGTTTCATGTTCTAATTAGTGTCTAGTTAAAAAAAAAGGTTTTTAACTTTTTTATTTGTGTAAATAGGAAAAAAATAAATAAATAAAATGCGGCTTCAATTTAAATAAAATAAACTACCAACAAGCAATTTAATTTAATTTTAATTTGAGCATTACAGCTTTATTAATAAGCGCTTCATGTAACGAATTTAAAAATTATTATAAAAGTTTTAAATTCGTTCATTCCTATCACAATATAATAAATTTTTTTTTTTTCCAAAAATATAAAATATTTGTTTAAGATTTAAAAAAATCGTAAGTTTAATTATAAAAATTAATTGTACGAACATTACAAAATGCTTCGAGACTTTTCCATTACTCAACAAAATGAATGCTTATATAAGTTAATAAAGTTATTTTATATTCTTTTTTAATTCACATGTGTAAAAGCTAGTTATTCATTAATTAAAGTAGCTTAAACAAAATTCTCTGTATATATATATCAATGTTTTGTGAAGTGTTATGCATATAGATCTTTGTGTGCGTGCTGATGATCCTAGTGTGTTTGTTAATAAAATCGTTGTGTATTAATAGTATTAGCTATGATATGTTAACAACACCTGGTTGGTAAGTAAATAACACCAAAGTATGTTAATATCAGGTTTCAAAGTTCTGCATTACGTATTTTTATTCAAATAATATATTGGTTACAGTTATCCCACAATTATGGATCAACCACAAAAATGGATCAGTCTCACTTTCCTTTGTAAATTTTGCTTAATAAATCAATTTAAATCCACTCAAAAAATAAAAAAATAAAAACACACAAGTAGAATGCAGTGATAATTTCTGTTACTCCTCAAAAATTTAAGAAAACTGGAAAAATATTACAAGCTGTTAAAAGTGACAGCTCAAACAGCTCAAATCTGTTATTGCAAAACAGACTGAAAAAATCAAAGAAACTGCTGCAAAGTTTACGATTCTTTACTCAACTTTGCAAAATAAAGTTTTTGGCATTATCAAAGCTAATAAACCTGGTCCTAAGACCGTTTTGACAACCAAAGAAAAACAGAAAATCAATGACAAAATAATTTATCTTTTATCTGGTTCAAAAATCACTGATGTTCATATTAAAAACTGGTTTTAAGAAGTCTAGGAGTGATTTAAACAGGAAAACATAGGTATCAATGCATTTGACCACCTTTACAGAGTTGTAAACTTTGACGAACTGGGATTTAAAGTTGTTCAATGAAAATATAAGGCTCTATGTGCTACTGGGTCAGAAAATATGTATAATATCACAAATAATTGCAAAAAAGAGGTGTATACAGTTCTTTTTGGCTGCACAGCTTTTGTAAAATTGGTTCAACCAATGATTATTTACCCTGGACATCGAATTACGAGAACCGCCAGAAAGGTTTTTGGTATGAACCTATCATGAATACAGCGCTTTTCAATCTATGGAAGTCTGTAAGAGACAAAAATTAGGGACTCAGCCATTGGAGTTCAAAAAATTTCATATCAAGAAAGAATGTGATGGTAAATCCCATGATTGACTGCTTTGTTTGGCCAATAGAAACGCCAAATAAAAGTTTACAGAAACATAATCTGAATATGTTCCATCTGAAACGAGCTTTAAGTGGTTGGAGTGGTTTCAGAAAAAAGATCTAGAGAAAAAACTGAAGGAAGATGAAATACAGAATCAAAAATTTCTACGAGAGGCATCAAAAAGAGCAAGAAAAGGCAGGAAAAATGAAAAATGAAATATGAAAAAAGAAGAAATTTGATAAAAACTAAAGTTTCACTGTTTAATAGTTTAAAACTAAAATAAAGAATTAAATATTTGTCTAAACTTTTTGATCCATAATTGTGTCTATTCTGATTGATAATTGTAGTTGCTACTGTTCATGATCCATAATTATATTTTTTATAATATTTTGCAAAAAGTCTTTTTTAACTATTTGTGTTGGGAAAATCATTTTGAAATGTTTACATATTTAAAGTATTTCAAACACATTTCAATCTACAGATATTGTTTTTACAAAATAGTATATCCTTCTTAAATGTTCTTTTAAATATGCGGTAGTGGTGTAGTGGTAGAGCGCTCGCTTCATAAGCGAGAGGTTCCAAGTTCAATCCCCACTGTGTCCCTGGTAGTACCGCGCTCAACTCATTTCTCTGCGCAGCGGCCTTGTTCGTCAAGGTTCGTGTTTTGGAGTTATAGAATTGAGAGAGGGTTATAACCCCAAATAAGTAGCTTCCTTGTCTGTAGTGGCCTTCTTGGCCTTGAGGAGGTGAATTAACAAAAAAAAAAAAATTAAAAAAAAATACATTCAAACTATAAAAAAAATTTAGGCTGTTCATTATTGTGAGGTAGCTGTACATACAATATTAATATTTTTAGCCAAGTAATATATGAGTTACATATGGTATTGACGTCTTTTAAAGCTTGCTTGCTTCATGTTTTTTAATTTTTTGATCAATTTATTTATTGATGAAATAATATTTTAAAGTTTGATAGGGATTTAATTTATTTATTTCCAAGTTAGCTGAGCATTTATCTATAAAACAATGTTTTATGAGAGAAATTATAAATTAATTTTATTCATGATAAACTGTGTAAATAGTATTCAGCATTTTGTTTTTTCAAATCTCATGTTTATTTTTTATTGAACATTATGTAAATTACACTGTTTTTCTTGTTCTAGCATTATGTAAATTACACATTTTTTCTTGTTCTAGCATTATGTAAATTACACTTATTTTTCTTGTTCTAGCCCTCACAAGTTGAAAATCTAAAGAAATTTATTCAAATTCTTACGAAACATTTGCATGACAGAATACCAGACTCTGAAGTTATATGGTATGACAGTGTGCTTTCTACAGGTCAACTCAAATGGCAGAACAAACTGTGCTCAGAAAACAAGTTTGTTTTATTTTTATATACTGGTGTTGTTTTTACAATTTTTTTTGTATTTGTTATTTTAGTAGACACTTTTTGCTTTGCCATTTGATGGAAGAAAAAAAGATTATTGTAAATCATGTTTTAGTTACTAAAATATTTTCTTTTAATTCGTATTAATCTTGTGTAATAAAGCAGTAGTTGCACATATTGTATCATGATAGTTGTATGTATATTTTTCTATGTGAATTTTTTTTGTGACTATTTTGACAAGATCCTTTGAAAGATGCTTAAATAAATATAAAAATAATGATAAAAATATATAATCCAAATTAAGTTTCAACTGACAAACCCTGCTTCATATTATTCATATTATTTTTAAACCAATAATATAGTGGCAATTAGTGGTAAGATGTTGTACATATTTGTTGCTAACATGCGGTTCATATTTGTTGCTAACACGTGGTACATATTTGTTACTAACATATAGTAACAACTAATAGTTATATTTTTAACCAACATTTATTAATACTTGTGAGTTGTATTTGTTTTTTGTTGTTTAAGGGTAACTTTCAGATATGTACTTCAAACTTTAGTACCTTGAAACTGATATAAAGTTTCAAAATGGATTCTGGTTTTGAAAGTCACAAATCACAGTTTATTCCTGGTTTTTGGTGTCCAGGACCACCTAAAATGTTGAGAAAATTTGAGGTGAAAAATCAGAATATTTAGGGTAAAAGAACTTATCATCTTTGAACCTGGTGAATTTATGTAAAATACTGACCAAGGACTAAAGACATGGACTAAGGCAATATCCTTTATGCCTTTTGAATAAACCCAATTCAAATATACAAATTCTTTAGTTTTTCACCTATTAAGGAGTTGGAATTTTTACATAATTTGCAAAAGTCAAAGTTTTAATGTATTAAACATTAATGAAATTTAAAATATGTTGATGAATATAAATTAAATAAAATAAGTAAAGGAAATTTTCTTTGCAAAACTTTTTTTTTTTCGTTTAATATTATATTAGCAAGGTGTTATCTAGTCCGATGGCACGGCATATAAAGGTTTAAAATTCACAAAATTCAATGACCTTTTTTTTTTTTTTTTTCTCTCGAAGTAACAGGACAATATCAATAAGAACTCCAAATATTTTGTAAATTATTAACAATAAATACTCCTGTCACAAAAAAAGTGTTAAAAAATATATTCTTGGATAACACTTTGATTAGGTGTCCAAACTCTAATCATTATGATTTCATGTAAGTTTGGAGTTTGCTTATGTCTGAGAGTTACCATTCTAAAAATTAAAAACCTACTGTTACTCACAGAATTTTTTATACATGGTTACTTATTACATTTTAAGGGTTATTTCTAAGAGGCTTCTGTGAAAAATGGATGCGTAAATAAGAAGAAAAAGATTATTTTTTGAACTTAGATTTTCTATAAGACTTTTAATGTTAAAAAAAGAGTTTTAAACTTGTAAAAAGTAAAGTGTTTAATCCTTTAAGCTTCATTAACCTAATTTATGAAGTTTTATTTTATTGGTAAAATGTTATTGATAAATACTGATTTATTCAAGAAGTACAATTTTCAATTTTGTTTACATCAGTTTTAACTCTTTATGATTATGATTAAATAAGGAATAATCTGGATCTTCTAGTGTTCATTTTCTCTTGCAGTTGCATAGACTTGGAACTTTCTTTTTTGTCAGCTTCAACAACCTGCATAAATTTCTAATAATTCTTTTTGGTTTTGGTTGCACCCAGTCTGCATTAAAATTTGAGGCATGTTTTTGACTACCATTGACATCACCACCAAAAGTTTTTTTTTTTTCTAATGACAAAAGCGACCACTGAGTGACCTAGCCAATTTTCAATGATTTCATAAAAAAAAAATTAAAGTCCAATTTTAAAGGACTGAAAATGTAGAACAAATTTAAAGTTACCAAATCTCTAAGTCTTGTTTTGGCAGCAGTTTTTATTGGGAATTGGATTTTCCAAAGCCAGTGATTTAAAAGGTTTGTTTAAAAGATTCATTTTATCACTAGGTTTCTCTGCTAGAAGCAGAAATGCATCTAATCAACAAAAATACAATTTTATTTTTTGTTTAGGTTTGCTTTCTGGATCAAGGTACAACAAACAAAATTCTTTGAGTTCTTTACAGAAGATTTTGCAGCTGGTCTGCGAAATCTTCTGTAATGGGCTACACTTGTCACAGCTGGTCTGCACTTTCCTTTCATATGGTATCTTAGAAAAAGCTTGTGAGTTGTATGAGACAAAACAAACAAAATTCATTGAGTTCTTTATAGAAGATTTTGCAGCTGGTCTGCGAAATCTTCTGTAATGGTCTACACTTGTCACAGCTGGTCTGCACTTTCCTTTCATATGACATCTGAGTAACAGCTTGTGATTTGTATGAGAACAGTGATGGGTTAAATAGGTTGAGTCTGTTGTTGCTTCCATGAGTAAGTGTAACATAATGCTTCTTAAGTCTGTTAAATACCGTCACCTTTGAATATTTACATGCTTCAATGTGCAAATCACTTGAAACTTGTATTGAAGTAACTTCTTCAACATGATAATGACGTGCAGACCAAAACTATATACTGCTAATTTTTGCTCCAGGGCTACTCTTGCTGCACTGAAGTGTCATGTATTGCTGACTGTAGTATCAAAGTTTATTTTTGCTATTGACTCAGCACAGTTCAATTGTAGCATCAGTAATGATATCACCAGTTTGCTGATTCCTGGTTGTTGAGATTTTTTTTATTGCCATCATCTAACACAAGTTTTTCCTGTATGTTATGTATTTTTTATAATATCATGGTCTTTATCAGTTTAGAATCTGAATACACAAAGCATACTTTGAAATCCATCTTTCCAATTTTTTTTTGTGAAAGAAAAAAATTTGGAAATATTATAATTTTTTCTGAAAAAAATTGTAATTATAGTGTTAATTTAATTTTTAACAACATTTAATTTTTAATTTTTCTATGATTTATTACTTATTTGAAATTTTATTGTTTTTATTCGTATTATATTGTTGTATTTATTTAATTTTTTTTTTTTTTTTTTATTAAACTTTTAATAAAAGATAAAATATTTTAAAATATTTTTTTAAAATATTTTATTAAAAATAATAATCTTTATAAGTTTATTTTATTTTATAAAGATTAACTACTAGTTTTATTTAAACCTAAAATAATTGTTTATGCAAAGCATAATTATGATATTTAACATTCATTTAAGAACATTATGTTTTTATAAAATACTTTTTCACATAGACTTAAAATTTAACAAATAGCCTCTAAAATATATTAGAAACAATCATGTATAGTCCATGAACCTTTGGTGGTGATGAGTATTTTCTAACAGTATATTTTTGCTGACAGTATTGTTAAATAAGCATTATTTTTTTGGACCTTTTAGAGTATTTTTTGACCTTTGTGATGGCATATTTCTAAATTATAATTGGTCTATCTATGATCTTCAGCATTCTTTGTTTACATCTGGTGAAGCAAGAAAGTTAGATGTTTATGTTGGTGTGGATGTATTTGGTCGAGGATGCTTTGGAGGAGGTGGTTGGAACAGTTGTAAAGTAAGTAAACCAGGGTTGGCACCCAATAACCCAAAATCGAAAACCCACCCAAAAACCCACCAAAAACCCAACTTAATGGGTTTTTAGTTTTTGGTAACCCAACTTTATGGGTTTTTGTGTTAGTAATATTTTTATTCATAAATTGATTTCCATTCACACTCAAGATTTGATGCTGCTCAAAAATTGTTATAAAAACAAGAAGTTTAGTGAATCATAAATGAGATTTTATTTTGTTTGGAGTAGAAATATTCAAACTTAAAGGTTTAAAACAAAGTTTAAACCTTTAACAACTTAGTCATCAGCAATTGTTCATCTTGACCTTAACGTATGTAAGTTTCTACAAGCATTTTTTGCTTTCCTCTTCCTAAAAGATTCCTAATTTTGCTAAATATCTTTGTTCCTAAATCAGGCTTCATTTAACCATTTCTCAGCTTCTTTTTCTTGACTTCTATCTAAGGTTCCTTCATTTTTCAGCCATTCCTCAGCTTATTCTTGACTTCTATCCAAGGTTCTTTTTAGATATATAGAAAATTTTTTATCAGTATTTATTTTAATTTGATCAGATGCAAGTTTTTTTTTTTTTTTTACAATTTTATAGTTACCTTTACATTTTAGATCTGTTAAATTGGCCAAATAATGACATGGAACAATTGTTTTCTTAAACCTATATAAAATATCATGTTTGTATCGCTTTGGATACTATGAGCAATTATAAAATCATTACTAAATGTACTCCAATCATCTTGAATTAAGATAACAGCACAATCATCATCAAGATCAAATTTCATTGTATTGATTATTTCTTCGTTTACCTTTACTAAGAGTTCTAAAGATATCTGTTTTCTATTCTATAGGTAGTCAATTCAAATTTTTCTACTATGTTCAATGGTATATTTGTTGAAAAAAAGAAATCTTTTAACCTGCAAATCCAGTTCATTCTTCTGATTACTTGTTGTTGAAGTAACAAATTTAGAAACAGATGTTTGCCGTTGCATCGTAGTGCAGTTAAATAAACAATTGACGAAGATTTACTAATAAAGCTGAAATAATCATGATCATTATCTTCTGACTGGTTAGACTTGTTAGATGCTGCAGATGTAGATGGTCTTGACTCTAAAACTGATGTATCGCTAAATACTTCTGCAGAAATCTTAGCGTTTCCTTTTTTTTACTTCTGAATTTATCAAAATGGATCTTAACTCTCACTACTTTTTTAATTATGCTCTCTTTGCAATGATTATATATTAATCTACTTGGTTGATCACTTAATATGGTCACTTCATTCTACCCACTAGCCTAATTTCTACACTCTAATTGATACTTTGACATGTTAATGTCAACGTATAGTTCAATTCTATTATAAATTTGACTAAAAACTAACTCTAAAAAGTTAAACAATAAACTTATATTAGAAAAAAATGCAATCTGATTATAAATTAAGCTTTTGTATAAGAAAATATAACTTTAATCAATGATAAATAGCTTTTAAATTACTATAAGTTTATCAAACTTTGTTACTAGAGATTTGTACGCAACTTAAGTAAAAACCCAAAAAAACCAATAACCCACCCAAATACCCACACAAAAACCCAGTTGGTTTGGGTTTTTGCTCAAAAACCCAGGTTTTTGCCAACCCTGAAGTAAACTGAAGTAATTATAAATGGTAAAACAATTTTTTTTTTCTATTTAGTCTAAAAACAATCATAGTGTCTTGGACAAGTAAATTTGACCACGAACACTTAGCAACATATTTTGAAAGCATAATTTTTTATCATTAACACTTAGTAACATATTTTTAAAGCATGTTATAAATAAATTTTAAGGCAATGCAAGTTATTAGAGAAAAGAAATTATCAGCTGCCATTTTTGCTCCTGGTTGGGTGATGGAAAACCATGGTGAAGAAGAATTTACAAAAAATAACAAAAAGTAATTTTTTATTATTTAATTTTTTTGTATAGTTTAATATAGTTTATTTTTTATTTATATTACTTCAATTTATTACTAGATTACTTATTTTGATATATTGTAATATTTATATTATTGTTATTATATTTTTAATTTATATTTCTTATAACTCTTATTTAGCTTTTTTGTTCATTTAATTTGATTTTATTCAATATTTTTGTTTTTGTTATACTTATCTATTTGTTTGGCTGTTGCGTTATTGTTTAAACTACCATTATTATTATTTGTTATAATTGTTAATGTTTTGATATTGTAATCGCTTGTTTCTAATAATCTATTTGTTAGTATTATTTTAACTATTATTAATAACATTGCTATTTACTTCCTATTCATTGTTTCTTACATTCTTTTTATTATTGGAGTTCCACTAAACTCTTAATTGTGTAAAAAAAATTAGTCAAAGTTGCCGCTCATCTCAATGTAATATTTGTTTGTTTTAGACATACAAAATGTGACAGGCTGACAGGCTTAATGATACTAAGTACAGTTTACTACAATTAAGTTGCTTGTTGTGGCATTGTGTAAACTTTACTAAATGTGTCTTCACAGATGTACCAGTCAACAAATTTAAATTGCTATTTTCTTTTGATAAAATTCTTAAATCTGATGGTTTACCTCTGTCTACAAACCTTTTCTGGTCTTTTCATTTAAATAAAGTCTCTGATTAATGAATGATTATGTTTCATATTGTGTTTATAGATTCCGATGAAGAAATTTCTTCTTCATTAGACATAGTTTGTAAATACATAAGCAAATTATGTGCACTTAACTTTAATTTAAAAAAAATGCTCACTCATTTTTTCATCTAAACATATCATGGTTAAAAAAACACTTTAAGGATTTACATATAATACTATCAGTAATTAATTTTGATTTTTCCATTAATGGTATAACTGAAACAAGGTTAAAAAAAGGAACAGCCTCAATTCATTTGAGTCTCATTGATAATTACAACATTGAGCACTCACCAGTGGAATTCTCTTGTGGTTGTACATTATTACATTTATCAAAAAAAGCTAATATACAAATGAAGAGATAATTTAATGATTTACACACCTAATTGTTTAGAATCCACATTTGTTAAAATTATTTTTTCTATTAATTCTAATGTTATTGTTGGTTGTATTTTTAGACACCCTTGCACGGATATCAATATTTTTTTATAATGTCATGTCTGTCCAACTTCAAAAAATATCTGCTGAAAATAAATCTGTTTTTTTACTTTGCGATTATAATATTGATCTGAAACTATCAAATGTTGACATTACTATGTCTGATTTTTTAAACTTATTTCTTCTGTTTCTTATCACTTACCTCAATTTAGTATTTGTCCCAATTGCAATAAATTATTTGTACCACACAGATACAATTTATATAGCAGGAGTTTTAAAAGCCTCAATAAAGAAACCTTTAAATCTGATTTATCAAAAATTGAATGGGATGATGTTATGAAGTCCATTGATGCTAACTTATGTTTCCAAACGTTTATTACTAACAACATGTTTAACTAAAACAAAAGTTTTATTACTGAATAAACACTATGCCTCACTTACTATGCCTCACTTAAAAAAAAGTATCAAATATCAATTCAATGTATGGGTTACAAAAAGAATTAAAAAATCTATTGAAGTGCACAATCTTTTCTAACAAAAAATGTTAAGATTTAAAGTTAAAATAGTATAAACAAGTTTGAAAGTATTTTTCAGAGATATAAATATATGATAATGACATTAATTAAACTTAGTAAAAAAATCCATTTAAAATTTTTTTTCTTAGAAATGTAAAAAATCTTCTCGAACTTTGATAAAATATTAACATTCTAATAAATGCCAAAAATTTTAATAAATCATCCTTCAACTGTTTGCAAGAAAATAAAACTTATATAACTGACTTGACTCTAACCTCTGAATCATTTAACACATAGTTTACTATTATAAAGTTCAACAATTTACATTTATTAATATCTCCAACAAATATTCCTGAAATTTCATTTCTTATATCTAAATAAAATCTAAAATAAATCATTAGGTTCAAACAGCATTCCTACAAACATTCTTATATATTTTAATTATGAGTTTTCAAATATTCTTTCTAAACTATTTAGTATCTCATTCATAAATGGATCATTTCCATTTATGAAACAATTTTAAAATGGTTACAAACTTTCATGCACTAACTATAGATCTATTTCTCTTTTATCTAACATTACTAATGTTAGATAAAAGCTTCTCGAAAAACTTATCATAAGTTTTTTGAATAAAATACATAATATGTATTCTAGAATACATAATATGTATTCTAGAATACATAATATGTATTCTAGAATACATAATATGTATTCTAGAATACATAATATGTATTCTAGAATACATAATATGTATTCTAGAATACATAATATGTATTCTAGAATACATAATATGTATTCTAGAATACATAATATGTATTCTAGAGTGTACTCTTTTCTAAACTCATTTAATTGTTTAAATGGTTTTCAATTTGGTTTTTGATTAAAATATTTTAACTGCCATTCAATGGTTTCAATACCATCAGCCATAGTGTTTTGATTTCTAAATTAGAACATTATGGAATTTGCGGTCTTGTAAATTACTTTGATCTTATCTTTCAGATTGAAAACAAATTTGTAAATATTAATGGTTTTAATTCTAGTAATAAATCAGTTTTGTGTTGTGTTCCTCAAGGTTCTGTTCTCGATTCTCTTTTATTTTTAATCTAGATTAATAACCTAATCAACTCTGTTCACTTCTTTTCAGTTCATTTATTTGCTGATAATACAAATCTCTTACACATCAACAAATTATATCATTCTTTATGTAAAAATATAAATTTGGATCTAAGCTATAGTTCACTGGTTAAATACACCGAAAACACTTAATTTTTTAAATCTCCAATAAAAAACTATTTCTTTAAAAATGTTGAAATTAAAATCAAAATTAATAATAAATGGCTATAATCTTTCAGAGTTATTAAATCTTGGTGTGTTATTTGATTGAAATCTTTCATGGAACTTTCATATTAATAAATTAAGCCAGAACTAATCTCAAGCCAATGGCTTTTAATGATTTATCATTAACTTGATAAAGTTACACTTGAAAAAATTTAGCAAATTTATTGATGAATTAAGCAAGAAACTAACTAATCTTGAGCTAACTGTATGATTTTAATAATTAGTCATTAATGATTTCTACATGTTTTTTTTTTTTTAATGTATGTCCTATCTGCTTTAATCTATGTAATTACAGTCCATGTGTTTCAATGTATGTTTTATTATTGCTTATGTATTGCTTATTATTACTTATATTATATTTAAAAATTGGTGTCACTCCTTTGATCAGATTTCTGTATGAGTGATACTATCCTAATGAATTATTAACTTATTATTATAAATAATTTTATGCTTATTACTACCAATATTTATTGTTTTTTCATTATAATTATTGTAAACATACTTATTTTATAAATGCTTTCTAATAGCTTGACTGTTAAGTAAAAATGAAATTGTTCAATAGCAGGTTTATTATCTCTAAAATAACATTAAGCAATTTTTAAAAAAATAGATTAAATTTTATAAAAGTTTAGGAAAAACATGAAATCTAACTGAAATAATGAAATAAACATTAAAATCTGCTAGAATCCAAAATCAGAGTGTTGAGTGCTTTTTAAAGGTTTTAAATTGTTTTCAAATTAAATAATTTTTTTTTTGTCTAAATGTGGATCTATATTTCTATATTCATTTACTCCTTCTTATTGCAAATTTGAATACATAAGATGAATGTCATTACTAATTCTTTTAAGTCTTTAATGAAATAAGTCTTTTTTATAGAGTATTTATAACAATAACAATAACACAAATGAAGTAATATTATAAAGTTATATCAATATAAGTATAAAGCTATAAAAAAAAAGTTTATTGAAACTTTTTTAATAAAAAAAGATTTGAATCTTTTATAATTTTATAAACTTTTGTTTGATGAGAAATTTGATGATGAAATGTGCAAGAGGTGAAGATTGTCAATATATGTTTTTACAAGCTTTTTACAAACTTTTTACAAGCTATTTTATTAGTAATTTGTTTATTAATAGATTTTGGGAATTGTTAGCTGCGTACCTCTACCCACATTTTCTTAGTGAACTTCCTTTTGTTACCTCATTTTGTCAGGGTTATGGAGCAAAGGTGTTTGTACAAGGAAAGGTAAATAGTTTGAATATTTGTAACATAGTTTAGAACCTTAATAAAGACTTGATAAAATATGTCATTAAAATTTAATTTGGTGTCCTAGATGTTGCAAAATAAACCTTGGACAAATCTAAGTGCACAAAGCTTTCAGCCAACATTTTCTAACAATCTGTACCAACTAGGTCCTAAAGAAGGCATGCAAGTTGATTGCATTGAATTACAAACTGAAGAAGCTTATAATGGAGGTGGTTGTCTTTGCATTAAAGGATTAGCAAAGCCATGTGAAGAACAAACTAGAACAGTATTAAGGTATTGCAAATTCAAAGTACTACTTAGGCTTTTGTAGATACACCTTTTGGATGTCATTGTATTTTTTTCTAGATTATTTAAAACTGATATTAAACTTATGGAGTCAACTAACTATTCTGTAGAATTTACATATAAATGCTCAAGTGATAGAGTTCAATTGTTTTTGCTTGTATTGTTAGAAGACAATCCATCATACATTGTGTTTAATCCTAGTAAAGCTGGTAAATTTTTTTTTCTGTGGTTACAAAGCACAAACACCAGCTAATGTTATTAATATGATTGTTTAGAAAGACTTACACATTAAATTTATAATTCTTTATGATATGTGTAATTTTCATTTATTTAAAAAAAGTGTCTTTTAAGCTTTTTTTGTTTTTCTTTTGCTTTTTAATACTGGTCAAGGGGAAAAAATAAAGCATAATTGGAAGTCACTTTAAGTGTAATTTTTTGTACTTATTGTTATTTTTTGATAAACAAAACTAATTCTTTTTTTTTTTTTAATCATCAAAGACAGTCTTTTCTGGATAGAAAATTAAAAACAGGGTTAGTACTCTAAATACCTAAACCTAAATACCAACCCAAAAACAAATTTAATTGGTTTATGGTCTTAAATTTTTTATTTATAGTTTTTCCATTCATAAATTAATTTCCATTAACACTCAAGATGCTGTTCTAATGATAATAAAAAATTTATTTTTATATATGTGATAGTTATAAAATTTTATATATTATAATATATAATATTATAGTATATAAAAATCATTTTTTATTAAATTGATTAGTTCTTTATTTATATTTACTAAAAGTTCTGAAGATGTGTTTTCTATTTAATGGCTTGTATCCAAGTCTAAGTTTTTTGATCAACTTGGTAAATTCAAAATTTTCTACTACATTAAGTAGTATATCTGCTGAAAAAAAACAACCCTAGCAACTTCTAGTTCATCCTAAATAAATAATCTAATTAGAAATGTATATAATAATATATTTTATCATTGTTTGTTGTTGTAGAAACAAATTTAGAAATGGTTACAAGTTTATTACAGTTGAATTTAAAAAATTGAAGAATAAGTTGAATCACTAATAAAGCTCACTGAAGAATAAGTTGAATCACTAATAAAGCTCACTGAAGAATAAGTTGAATCACTAATAAAGCTCATTGAAGAATAAGTTGAATCACTAATAAAGCTCACTGAAGAATAAGTTGAATCACTAATAAAGCTCATTGAAGAATAAGTTGAATCACTAATAAAGCTCACTGAAGAATAAGTTGAATCACTAATAAAGCTCACTGAAGAATAAGTTGAATCACTAATAAAGCTCACTGAAGAATAAGTTGAATCACTAATAAAGCTCATTGAAGAATAAGTTGAATCACTAATAAAGCTCACTGAAGAATAAGTTGAATCACTAATAAAGCTCATTGAAGAATAAGTTGAATCACTAATAAAGCTCACTGAAGAATAAGTTGAATCACTAATAAAGCTCACTGAAGAATAAGTTGAATCACTAATAAAGCTCACTGAAGAATAAGTTGAATCACTAATAAAGCTCATTGAAGAATAAGTTGAATCACTAATAAAGCTCACTGAAGAATAAGTTGAATCACTAATAAAGCTCATTGAAGAATAAGTTGAATCACTAATAAAGCTCACTGAAGAATAAGTTGAATCACTAATAAAGCTCACTGAAGAATAAGTTGAATCACTAATAAAGCTCATTGAAGAATAAGTTGAATCACTAATAAAGCTCACTGAAGAATAAGTTGAATCACTAATAAAGCTCACTGAAGAATAAGTTGAATCACTAATAAAGCTCACTGAAGAATAAGTTGAATCACTAATAAAGCTCACTGAAGAATAAGTTGAATCACTAATAAAGCTCACTGAAGAATAAGTTGAATCACTAATAAAGCTCACTGAAGAATAAGTTGAATCACTAATAAAGCTCACTGAAGAATAAGTTGAATCACTAATAAAGCTCACTGAAGAATAAGTTGAATCACTAATAAAGCTCACTGAAGAATAAGTTGAATCACTAATAAAGCTCACTGAAGAATAAGTTGAATCACTAATAAAGCTCACTGAAGAATCACTGATAAATGATCTGATTTTTTGAATAATAAAACTGATATAACACTGTTAAATATTTCTGATCTTCTGAATCATAAAACTACATTCTGCTTAATATTTCTGATCTTCCTAATGGTAAAACTGACGTTCTGCTTAATATTTCTGATCTTTCTAATGGTAAAACTGACGTTCTGCTTAATATTTCTGATCTTCCTAATGGTAAAACTGACGTTCTGTTTAATATTTCTGATCTTCCTAATGGTAAAACTGATGTACTGCAAAATATTTCTTTCCATTGAGTGAAATTTTGCCATGTTGAAGAATGTATAATCTACTTACATTTTGAATATAACAAATTTTTTAAAATTATAACTCTATTTCACATTAGCTTTATATTAAAAAAAATGCAATATTATCATTAGTTATAAAAATAAAAAAAGTTGAATAACTCTAAATTAATCTCAATTCAAGATTTGTACTAAACTTTAGCAAAAACCCCAAAACCCAGTTGTGTTAAGTTTTTGCTTAAAAACCCAGAGTTTTTGCAAACCCTAATTAAAGGAAATTTGAAAATATTAAAGCAAATTGATTTTTTTCCTCAATTTAAATAATACAAGGGACAGGGAAATTTAAAACATAATAATTTTATAAGTTTTGTAGTCATTTTCATATTAACCTAATAACACATACTACCTTACTATGAATAATAACATATACTAGTTTGTTATGCATAATAGCTATAACATTTGCATTTTTTTAACACATTTTATACAAGTAAATATTTTTCAAAATTAGAAATACAGAATTGTTCAGTTTCATCAACATATGCTATAACTAATCTTCAAGACAGTCAATATGTGTTTCAAGAGCCTTTAAATAACCAAACTCTGACAACTAATGCGGAAGGTATTTGGTTAACAAGGTATTTATGTTTTGCTTTATGCTTTTATTCAAAATTGAACATTTTTTAAATCAAATAAAAGATATTTAAGAATATTCTGAAAACATTTTGATGCTTAGTAAACATGTTTAGCTTAGATTTAATTTTACATTTAACTTGACAAGTTTTAACTAGTTTATAATAAAAATGAAAATTACAAGTTTTTTATGTTTTTAGTTTTATGCTGAGCAGGACATAGACAGATAAGCATTTTTGAGGAATGAATGTTTAGTAAGATGTAGCATAAAAGCTTGTGTAGTTTCAAAGGGTTTTGCTTTATTAATAAAGAGATTTTTTTTACTTGTTAGTATTATTTTTTTTAATTAATTTTTTTTTCTTTTGTATATTCATTAAATTTAATCAAAAACAATGTTGTGATAAAAAAATTGGAAAAAATTATAACATTGATTGCATATCTTTTTTTTACTAGTTGTTGGATAAGAATTTTTTTACTAGTTGTTGGATGAGAATTATGCCTTTTTTTATATGGTATAAGAATTCAGCAATTAAAGTTTTATTTAACAATTAAAAGGACTACCAAGTCATGACATGTTGTGTTCATATTAAAGAAAATGTTAAAAAAACGTCTGAGCAAATTTTTTTTGATTAAAACTAATTAATAAATGTATACTAAGAAAAAAAAATCTTGTTGTTTTAGTCGAAGTTCGTCTTCTCCATTTTCTGCGGTATTTTGAGTATGTAAAATAAACGCAATTTTCCAGGCGCATTATACAGACTTTATTTATTCAAGCTTGTTTAATTCATAGGAGTTTTAGTGCATGACGTCATTGGAAACATTCTAGAATTTCTTTAAAAATTTTACTATTAAATTTTACTAAAATAGCTAAATATAGTTACTTATTTTATTAAAAGTTTATTTTATTAATTTTTCGTTAGTTTTTTACAAATCTAACGAACAATTAATTAAACCAAGCACTAAGAAAAGATATTAAAATTAAGAATATATTAATAAAATTTATAATTTGTAATTAACTTTCAAAATTTTGACAATTTAAAAAATATATATTATAAAACATTTATTTTTGTAAACAAATGATAATAGTTTAAAAGATTTACGGTTTTACAGATGTGACTCCGAGAATGAGCCATAAAACTAAAGTAATAGTTCATTTGATAATATATTCTTAAAAAAATTTATGCTAGATATCTCAAAACGCAACAAATCGTAAATAATACAATTCCTAATACATTTCAACAGAATACTCTAAAACTTTATTTCGCTTAGTCAGCGTATTTTTTGAACCAATAGAATTAGTTTGTTCGCAAATTTGGCAGGTTTTTATTGTTCGCGAATATTCTTTTTATTCTTCCGCAAGATGTTTTAAGAACATCCAAGTTAATTATGTTTCCATGTATGTCTGTAAAATAAAAATTAATACATATTAATTTTTTAATTTTTAAGCCCCCCATAATATATATTGGATGTTATAATAATGGAAATATAAATTACGAAATAAAATCACCTCAATACCAAAATATACATTTTTAAAAATCAGAGAAAAAATGCGCTAATAGTTTTTTTTTTAATATCTACAAAGTAAATTAATAAAAGTGCATTATTATTTAGGTTAAAAATTATTTTATCTAATATTTTGAAAGAAAAACTTATAACAAAAGAAATCAAAATACATGTGGTCTAGACGATTATTTAAAAAAAGTTGCGCAAAGAAAATACTATTTTGTTTTTAATTTTTTTACAAACACATTTTAGAACTTTAAAATATAATAAAAATGAATATGATTTGGAAATTATATGTAAAAAATAACAATCGGTGTTTTAAACAAACAAACAAAAAAAAATCTATGACGTCATGCACTAAAACTCCTATGAATTAAACGCGCTTGAATAAATTATTAAGTCTGTATAATGTGCCTGGAAAATTGCGTTTATTTTAAATACTCAAAATACCGCAGAAAATGGAGAAGACATGCTTCGACTAAAACAACAAGATTTGTTTTTCTTGGTATACATTTATTAATTAGTTTTAATCAAAAAAAACTTGCTCAGACGTTTTTTTTTAACATTTTCTTTAATATGAACACAACATGTCTCGGGACTTGGTAGTCCCTTTAATAACCAAAAAAAAAAAAAAAAAATTATATGAATAATATTATAAGGCGACATTTCTGCAATAACTTTTAAATGCATCTCTGTTGATGAATGTGATGGGGTTTAAACTTTGTACCTCTTGCTACAAATATTGACATAAAATATTATTAATGATGCATTAGTGATCATATTGTTGATATCTCAGAAAGTAGTAAGATATATCAGTATAACAAAAATAAAGTAGATTCCCGTCAAATTTTGATAAAAATACAAAAAGAGGTTTGATATTCATAAAAATATTAATATGTAAATGTCTATTTTTTACAGTGCAAAAATGCAAATATTTTAAAGAATATTAAATCAACTATTTTGATATTGAATGTTATATATATTTTAAAAGTACATATATTAAAATTTTTAAATTCACCTAAAAAAGATGGTGAACTCGACATCACTGCCTTCGGCTGGACTTTCTTGTTAGCTCTAATCCATTTATTTTAGAAGTCTTAGATGTTTTTTGCTTCTTTTACATTGAACCTTAATTTCCTTTTGACAATAGCCTAATATCTTTTAATAGGGTGTAATTTGGGACATTTTGTTGGATTGCAGAGTTTTTCAACAAAATCAACTTTATGTTTTCTAAACCAGTTTAAAGTTGTTCCAGAGTAGTGACATGATGCTAAATCAGGTCAAAATAACGGATTACTTGTATGAGATATTAATACTGCAAAATACGCTTCTTGAGGCGTTCTTTGTTGTATATTTCGGTGTTAATTTTTCCTGTAGTCACTAAACTAGAGGTTCTTTCACAACATTCACAAGTTGCTTGTCAAACTAAGAATTTCTTAGCAAAATTTTCCATTCCAATACATTTATACTTGGAATTCAGTTTCTTGTGATTAATTACTGAATAATATTGGTGTCCTGGAAGAGATCAGAAGTATGCAACACAATAAGTTTCATCATCAATAATCAAACAAGATTTTTCAGCACAACTTTTTATATAGCAGTTTTGAATGACAAATTGCAACATTTATTTTCTTTTCTTTATGAGGAGGAACTTTTTTCTTTATATAAGGTTTACAGCCACAATGTCTCTTCACTCTTTGAATAGTGAAAGCGCTTGTCATAAATTTATTTGATAAAGTTCGAACAGAAATTTACCGATTTCTTTCTATAGCATCTTTAAGTTTTTTTAACAAGAACAAAAAATTTTTTTCTTGTTAAAAAAGTTAAAGATGCTTTCTTGTCGAACAAAATATTTTTTTCTACTTTTTCTATTTTTTTTCTTATTTTCTTTTAATTGTACTAGTGTCCTCAAATCATTTCAAAACACTCTACATTGTTCTCAAAGCAATCTGGAATTTTTTAGAAATTAAAAACTTTTTAAAGGTTTGTTTTATACACCAAAATTTTCAACCAGAAAATGGAAAATACTTTCTCACATCTTGATTCGATGTCATTTCAATAATAATTTTAGTCATTTCAATAACTGTTTTGATAACAGAGTTGTTTTGGATAACATAAATACAATGTCATTTTAAAACAGTTAGCAAAATTAAAGTAATGCACGTTTCTATAAACACCAAAATAGAACACGCTCAGATTTCTTCTGGTCTTAACTAGGGGTGTCATGGATATTTTATTTGAACAAATATTTAAGTTGTGAAAATGTCTGGTATTTAATAGTTTATTATTAGAAAACTAGCAGTAAGCAATCTGTTGTTAGTAACAAAATCATTAATAACAAATTAACTTTATATATTATCTAAAAAAATATCAAAAAAATACAAATTTATCTATATATAATCATTTTAGTTCAGCTTTTATTTGTCTCGGCGTTTAGTTAACGACATAAAAAGACCACATAGCTTTAGTTAATGACATAAAAAGACCACAGACGACTTAAAAGATTGCAAATTATATGAATCAGCAAAGCAAGATGAAAGAAGCGAATTCCAAAGAACTGATGTTCGAGGAAAAAAACTAGACAAATAAGAGTTTTTGGAGCACTTAGGAACAGTAACAGAAAAAGGATGAGACTTTATTGAATGACGAGTAACACGAGAATGAATTTTAGTAGATGGCACAAGAGATGCTAGCTCTTTAGAGCAGTGCCCATTATAGTATTTGTAGAAAAGAGAAAGAGAAGCAACATTACGACGATGTGACAGAGGTTGAAGGTTGGCTGCAAGAGCAGGTCCAACTATGTTTACAATGCATTTTTGCACCTTGTCTAAAAGAGAAAGGGCATCATTAGAAGATCCGCCCCAGATATGGAACAGTATTCTATACAAGGCCGGATTTGAGATTTATAGAGATGGAGAATAGAATCCAGAGTAAGAAAGTGTCAACTCGATAAAGAGAAGCAACTTTAGCAGATGCTAATTTTGCAATGGATTTGATATATGGTTTTCAAGAAAGATTGGAAGTAAGAATTAATCCTAGAAGATGAAGGGTAAATGGTTCATCGAGTACATTACCGTTCATAAATATAGGAAGGTCTAAATTATTGCGATAATGATTGGCTGAAAAAAAATTGAGTTTTATCTGAATTAAAGTTCACCAGCCACTGTGAGCCCCATGCTGTAGCAGAAGTGAGATCCTTTTTCAAGCTCAGATGCCCCCTGCAAGCAATCAGAGGGAGTTGGCTTATTATTGTGACAAGAATAAATGGTAGTATCATCAGCGAACTATGCCACCTTAGATGTGAAAATATCTGGAAGATCGTTAATGTAAATTAAAAAGAGTATAGGGCCAAGGATTGAACCTTGAGGAACCCCTAAAGTTACAGTATATGAAGAAGAGTGCTGTCCATCAAGGACAACTTTTATACTACGATTGGAAAGGAACAATTCAATAATTTTAAAGATGTTTCCAGATACACCGTAAGTAGAAAGCTTATGGAGAAGACCAGCATGCCAAACTTTATCAAGAGCTTTAGAAATGTCAAGAGCGATGGCCTTAACTTCTCCACCTATATCTAATGCGCGATAAAACCTATCATGAAAAGATCAAAATCCATATTAATGATCAGAAAGTAGGTTATGAGATTCGAGATGAGAGATTAAGTGTTTGTTAATTAAAGATTCAAAAACCTTGCTTATGATAGGAAGAAGTCTAATGGGACTAAGTTAGACGAATCGGATCGCTCTTCAGAATTTTCAAAAATAGGGATAATAGATCCTGCTTTCCAGCAGGCTGGCAAACAAGACTCTGATAAGCACTTGTTAAATAGTTTTGAAAGGATAGACGACAGCTCTGGAGAACACTTCTGCAAGACTATAACAGGTATGTTGTCTGGGCCGCAAGCTGTAGAAGAGTCTAAGCAGGAAATCACTTTAAATACAGAAGCTGGAGTGATACGGATGTCGAGCAGTGGATCAACCTGTTTGACGGCTATATCAGGTAGAGCGCAACTTGTGGAATTGAGAGATGATATTGATGAAAAGTTCTTGGCAAACAATTCAGCTTTGTCTTTAGGTGAGGTGACAAAGTCTGAACCGTACAAAAAAGGTGGAATTGCCATGCCAGCCTGAACCCATGAAGTTATGTAAGAAGCACATTTGTCAATAGGAAGACGAAAGATTTCTACCCAGGGGCCATCACGAAGAAAATCACGCAGTCAGCTTTAAGGTAGTTGTAAGATGTACAATGATAGGGGGATTCTGATGGTAAAGAAGAATGAGATAATAGTTTTAGAGAGACCAAACCATGATCAGAAGGGTGAGTGTGGAGAAACACTGACTAGGATTAGAAACAAGACATAAGTCGAGTAGAGAAGGTAAATGATTCGGGTTGTCTGGAAAGCGAGTTGGAAAGTTGACTATTTGAGTTAGGGATTGAGAAAGGCAAAAGTTGTGGGCCTTAATGCCTGCGGAGTCACTGACACTAGACCCAAGCCATTCAGTGTGATGAACATTAAAGTCACTGACAACAACAATATTAGCTGATGGATAAAGAATGAGGGCTTGGTCAATATAATCAGAAATAACATTAAGAAGAGTGCGGTCTTGAGATGAAGGAGAGCGATATAGAACAAAGAAAGGTGATAGAGTGAAGTGGTGCTAAACGAAAGCACATAAAAGAGTAGTCTGTGGATTCAAACTTAGTTTTCCGACAAATGGGTGAATTCTTACGAATGTAAATGCCTAGGCCAAACATATGACTATTAGAGTCTTTACGAATTAAAGGAAGATAACCATCAACACTAAGATCACAAGATGAGACAGCTGAACTTAAATTAGTCTCACAAAGAGCAAGTAGGTCTGGTGAACTTTGCAAGAGATAAGACGCATCAGAAGAAAAGTTACTTCGAAGACCACGAATATTGGTGAATGATAGGTTTAGCGAACTTGGTGATGACTGTGGTTTTTTGTGTTTTAGAGTTTTTGTTTTTAAATTTATTAAAGAACTTGACTCGAAACATAGATAGTACTCAGTACACTGTTTTATAACCCAAGCAATTGCCTCATTTTCACTAATAAACCCTAAGCCGTAACAAAGGGCTCCAATGTGGCCTTGGCAATGCACACCAAAAGAACAAACAAGGACACCATCCATGCGCAACATGGCACTGTTAGTACTCTGATATTTTTCAGCTGTTGATGGAATCAGCCTCTCTGAGAGCTACTACAGAGTTTGGGAAACCTGACTATCAGCCGGCCTCAGAACCATAAAACTGAGTTTTAGAGCTGTACCCTCATTTGGAGATAATAGAATGAGTTGCCTAGTCACAAAAACAGAGACACAAACAAAACCCATGCATCGAGTCAAGAAGATCCAGCGTTCAACATCCTAAACTAGAAACAATCTATTAAAAATACATCTGCACCAGCCTAATAGATGGAGAAGGGGGGGGGGGGAGGCTAATCAACAGATAGGATCTGTTTACCCCTTAAGTCTTTGCCTAGGAGGCCTTCTACAAGACAGCAGCCCTATGCATTTAACATCTGCCCAAGATAAGTATTTTTATCGAGACACCGTCTCAATTTACCACAACTTAATAACATTACTTGACTGGCATGCTTTTAAAACATAAAAAACAGAATATAAACATGTTTAAACTTTAAACATATTTTATTTTATGAGCACATTTTATAAAATATAAATATTTATTTAGTTAAAATGTAAACACTTATTTTAAACAATAACTTTATAAAATTTGAAAATACATTTGTGCATTTCTTCAGTTATCACACGCCACTATATTGGGTTGCAGGCAAAAGTAATAAAAAGACCTGGTTTACCATACTGTCGGCTTCTCAGTTTGTTTTGGTTATTTCTATGATAGCAAGACACTGCCCTTTAATTAACTTTCCTAAAAACAGGTGGAGCACCATCTTATTCAACAAATACAACTGCAACTTCACAAACTATAGTTTGCAAATGAAACATTAAATTATATAAGCAAAGATGATTGTCATGCTGTTGCATTCTAAAATATACTGTTGCAAATGGGTCATAAATATACAGTTGACAATATGTTGGAGAAATATCTTGATCTAGCCAAAGGTTACTTACACAATGTAAAACTTGATCACATATTATAAAACATTAAAATTTATATATATTTAAAAAAATTCATATACTCACATAAAAAGAATTACGGTTCTTTAAACAAAGAAACATGGAGAAGCATAGTCATTTTTTTTGACTACTTGTAGCAGAATTTTATTTGTATTTTTTTTATTCCTTATTATTTTTTCTGAGAGCAAATACATATAGATACAGAAAAATATAAAATATGCTGCAATATATGCACATTTATGTCTATAAACTTATATGTCAACAAATATTTCTTATTTTATTTAGTTTATATATATATATATATATATATATATATATATATATATATATATACAACAAATATTTCTTATTTTATTTATTATTTTATTTATATTATTTATATTATTTATATTATTTTATATTATTTATATTATTTATATTATTTATATTATTTTATTTATTATTAAACAAATATTTCTTATTTTATTTAGTTTATATATATATATATATATATATATATATATATATATATATATATATATATATTTATATATATATATATATATGTGTGTGTGTGTATATATATATATATGTGTGTGTGTGTGTGTGTGTGTATATGTATATATATATATATATATATATATATATATATATACACAAATATATATATATATATATATATTTATATGTGTATATATATATATGTGTGTGTGTGTATATATATATATATATATATATATACACAAATATATATACAAATATATATATATCTATATATATATATATATATATATATATATATATATATATATATATATATATATATATATATATATATATATATATATATATATATATATATATATATATATATATATATATTTCAATAAAATATACTATTGTAACTAAAAATGCTATTCTAACGAATTGCATAATATAATTAAATGCAAAACAATAATCTAAATATTATTAGTCTAATGTAATGTTTAATAATAGCATCGTCTTTTTAAAGTAATTTCTAGGCTTTTCTAAAAGCATTTCTTTATACAACGCAGTCTTTTAAGCAAGGTCTGCAAGCAAGGTGATAGTAATAAAGAAGAATTGATGTTGTTCCTTGTTTTATAAATTTATAGGTAACAAACTTATATTATATTTGTTTGAAATATATATATAATATAAATAATAATATTTATAAAACAATAATAATATGTAAGTCAAATATATATGTATATATGAATGTATTTATATATATAAATATACACACACACACACACACATATATATATATATATATATATATATATATATATATATATATATATATATATATATATATATATATATATATATATATGTGTGTGTGTATATTTATATATATACATACATTCATATATACATATATATTTGACTTACATATTATTATTGTTTTATAAATATTATTATTTATATTATATATATATTTCAAACAAATATAATATAAGTTTGTTACCTATAAATTTTAAATACATAGTTATCTGGAAAAATATCAAAAATAATAACATTCTAAAAACACTTAAATAGATGAATTAATTTTTAGATCTTATAGTTTTGTGGCACAAAAAAGTTGTTGCTTACAAGAAATTCGAGTTATTCTTGCAACTGGAGGAATAGTTGATGGTATGGTAACTTATATATTTATTATTAATGTTTAACAGAAGAATATTTCTTATTATATCATTAGAAGAAAAGAGAAATTTTTTTATTTAATAGACAAATTTAAATCTGTGCATCAAAGCTTATACACTTTGCAAAAATTCTGTGAATTAATTTAAATTCCATTCTGATACTAGATTGATATATTGATATTTTAGCGAACATTGAGAAAATTTTTGATGTTATGATCAAATCCAAGTAGTTTAGTTGTTAGTAAAAGGTTTTAGGTAGTTATTCAAGTTATTTTCAGGTTTTGATTCTATAATTAGGCATTTGTTCCTTGGTAAACAAAAATGGAACTCACTGAACAAAATAAATAAATTGTTTAAACAATGAGTTTTTCCAAACTGTTATCTTTACAAACTTAAACACCTGATTTTACATAAAGAACTAACTTAATTCACTTGTTACACAAAGATAAACCCTTTTTTCAGCAACAGCCATTTCAGCTGAAAGCATGGAAAAAAATAAATCAGTATACTTAAATAAATTCTCTCTTTATGTTTTATATGAATGCAGTTAAGGTATAGCTTTTTCACTAAGTCAAATATGTAAAAAATCTGAATCAAAATACCACAAATATTTAAATTCAACAATAAAACTCCAATCCAAAAAAGGTGGCAAAATTATTCCTTCTAATTACTGTCTAATATCAACTTCATCATAGATATCAAATCTTGCATCACAAACTTTCTAGAGACAATTGATTTGTTTAGTTTTTAACAAAGAATTCTATGCAATAACAATAGTCTTTGCCAAAGCATTCCATTGAATACACCGACTACTGTTTCTAAAAATCAGAAAATCTGACTTCAATGAGGAGATAGTTAAATGGATTGGAAACTTCTTATCAAATAGGAAATAATACTTAGTATTGAGTAAAAACAAATTCAAATGGTTCCAGATGCTTTGCGGTGTCCCTCGAGGCACTGTATTTTCACTTTTATTCTTTACAATCTATATAAATGACATGCCTTCATTAATTTCAACCTCCTGCATATTATTTACTGACAACACTAAGGGGTCATCCATAAAGTACGTCACGCTACTAGAGGGGGGGGGGAGGCATAATTTTGTGACAACTTGTGACAAGGGGAAGGGGGTTTGATAAATGTGACATCACAAATATTATTTATCATGACAAATTATTTTCTACATATTTACTCATTCAATTAAAGGAGTGTTTTAGATTGTCAAAAATTTTGCTTACACTTATGTTATGCATATTGTTGTATTTTAAATAGTTTTAAATAGTTTAAAAAGTTTGCAAAAATGTCACATTTCTGAAGACATTAAAGCACAGCAATGCAAAATCATTAAATCAAGAACGTATAATTCAAGTTTGGAGTTTTTAATGGAGTGTTTAAATAAGTAAATAAAACATTTTTAAAATATTATCTTTTATGTTGTTTATTTTTTTGAATCTTGTAACATTTTATAAACATTAGAGTTTTAGTTACATTTACATTTAAGCAAGAATATATAACTAAATAAATATATAATACATAATAACAAGTTAAATAGACTTGCTCATGCTTTAAATAGCCAATAGGATACATAGATTATTTTCAAATAATAGTGTAAATAGGATAGTAGCTAGTTAGCGGTCAGTATAACTAAGTTATTAGTAATTTATATTATGGCATAAATGCAATATTTTTAATTTCTCTAAATGAGTGCAAATGTGTTCCAGGTAATTCATAATATAAAGATGGACAAAGGACACTTATACACGTAACTTTATGATGCCTATGTTAAGGCATATTCGCAGAAGAAGAAACAAGATTGTCAAAAGGAAGTTAATGATATTTGGAGTAAGGTAAAATCTGAAAATAATCTTCCTGTAAAAGTAGACTCCCTGTTAAGAGAATATGATGCTCTGTTCAAAATGAAAAAAAGTACACTGACGAGTTTCTAGGCAAATCAATCATTACAACATGATGGTGCTAAAAATATACCTCGTAAATCATCGGCCATGGATATTCTAGCAAAATTACCAGATACTGATGTAGGGGGGTAATAAATGTAAAGCTTCTTCTTGTGAATGTTCTATGATAACTTCATCAACGTCTGGTTCTGAAAATGTCGGAAAATATAAAACAAAAGTTCAAGATGAACTAAAAGTTAAAATTGATGTTATCAAGAGTGATTTAGTTGGACTACATAAAAGAAGACAGTGTTATTGTTATGAATGATTAGGAAGCAGAGCTTATTGAGAAAAGAAGAAAAGTAGATATGTTGGAGAAAAAATTGTTAAAAAAAAGAAAGAACAAGCAAGACAGAAAAAAACTAGAGAAAAAAAAAAGAGAAACTAGCTAAAATTTGTGCAGAGAATCCTGGAGTTTGTGATGCTTTAAAAGCAAAAGATAAAACAGGCCGACCTTCTGTTGAAATTTATCAACCACTTTTCCTGAAAACCATTGCTGATATTGCTTTACATGGGTCAGCTGCATATGAAAGACGACAAAGTGGTATGTATCGCAGTATTAAAACACTAGATGAATTGACTAAGAAACTAAATAAAGATGGTTATCAGGTGAGTAGGAGCACCGTTTACACTCTACTAATGCCACGACGAAGTTCAACTTTGGAAGGAAAAAGACACATATCAACAGTACCAGTCAAAATTAATCCGATCTCAGAATGATTCACGCTCCAAGCACATTGTTGGAAAGTTCTGTACAGCAACTTTGAGACATCTGGAAGAGTGGTCATCTATACTGGGACCAAAAGAAGTTTGTTTTATTAGCCAAGATGACAAAGTGCGAGTCCCCATAGGGTTAACAGCTGCAAACAAAGCTCCATTGCTTATGCATGTTAAATATCGCATCAATTTGCCAGACCGTGATTGGGTTGTTGCAGCAAGACATAAGCTTATTCCATCAGTATATGCTGAAATTTGCATCAAAAAAGATGGACTTGGTAAACCAGATGCTGTTACTTATTCAGGTCCAACTTATATTGCAATCTGATCAGGCAAACATTCGTCTTCTTCTGCTCTTGCTCGTGGTTTAGACTTTGAGAGATTGTTACAATTAGACAAATTTGATGCAATATCAAAAGACGGCAGAGATAAAACTATTAAGCCTATTGTTGTCTTTACGGTGGATGGAGGATCAGATGAAAATCCACGTTATCAAAAAGTTGTTGATGTTGCTATCCACCATTTTGTTAAAAATAATCTAGACGCCTTATTTATTGCAATCAATGCGCCAGGTAGAAGTGCTTTTAATAGAGTGGAACGTCGAATGGCTCCATTGAGCAGAGAACTTTCTGGTGTTATATTGCCTCATTAACGTTATGGTAGCCATCTCGATTCACAGGGCAGAACAATTTCAAGAAGAAATTTCAAGTATGCTGGACAAAAATTGGCTGAAATATGGTCACAAGTTATTATTGACCAGTTTCCAACAGTTGCTGAGTTTGTTGATCGAGAGACATCTGAGCTAGATGCAGAAGAATTGATAACTAAAGATATAAAAGGGTTTTCTGAACACAAGTCAATACTTTACTCAAATTGTTAAATGTCAAGATGTAAAATGTTGCTTTAAAATTAGAAGCTCATATTTCAATGTTGTTCATTCGCAATTTTTATGTCCTCCAATTCCAGCTATTCAAACAAGTAATAGTCTTCAAGCTGACAAAAGAGGAGACAGTGAGTCTCATAAGTTTCTATCACTTTTTGTTTCACATAGTATTAAAATAGATAATATAATGGCAAGATCTGCAGGAAGATTCCAAGTTCATCCTTATGATCTCTTTTGTCCATCAGTACAGACTTGTCTATTTAATCGAGTATGCAAAGTTTGCCATCTCTATTTTGCTTCTCAAGGCATCTCGAAAAAACATGTTGGGTTGCATAAAAATTGCGATAAAGGAATTACTGTTTTTGAAAAAACTCAAACAAGGCGTATCAGACCAATAAGAGTAGCCACTAGAAGACAAAGAGATTTCAAGGTTGGTATTGCTTGAAAAAAAAATGAAGATATAGAGGGGCTGGATGAAGATGAAATTGATGTTTCGGGAATTGTCATTCCAGATGAAGATATAGAAAAAATATCAGAAATACCTGTCCTAACTATAGATGAACACTTTAAATCTCCGTGGATGGATAATGATAAATGGATAGATAAAATAAAACTTTAATTTGTAATTTGAAAAACACAAGGTTCATATAAAAAAACTATTTTCATTTTATTTTTAGATAATAATTTTAGAATAAACCAATAAATTTAGAAGGTATTCCAAATTAGTTAAATAAAGTCTTTTTTATTCTGTTAAATAGCTATTACTACATTGTTAGAATGTTGAAAATTCTGTAATGATTTGTTTTTTTTTTTGTTTTAGAAGGAGGGGGGGGGCGAATATGTGACATACTTTTTTAGGGGGTGCAGAAATATGTGACAGTTTGTGACAGGAGGGAGGGGGTTAAAAATTGAAAAAAAAAAACGTGACATGCTATATGGATGACCCCTAAACTAATATCAATAATAAAATATAAAAGGAGAGATTTAATTCAAAATGATATCAATAAACTAGCAGAATGGTCAAAAACTTGGAGCATGAGCTTTAATAGTAAAAACTGACATAAGTGCGAACTGGCATAAATTTAAATTGGCAAAAGTGCTCCAAAAAAATTTGCAACCAGTTGCATAAGTGCGTACTGGCATAAGTGCAAAGCAGTTGCAAAAACTTGAATAAGTGTGAATCTGCATAAATGTCATAAATTGTCATAAGTGCGCTAAATAATTTTGCAAGCATTAGCATAAGTGCGAAGCAGTTACAAAAACTGGTTAAAGTGCAAATTGGCATAAGTGTGCCAAATAAAATTGCAAATATTAACATAAGTGCGAATTGGCATTTCGCACTTACGCCAATTCACACTTATGCCAGTTTGCACTTATGCTAATATTTAAAAATTCTTTTGGCGCACTTATGCCAGTTCGCACTTATGCCAATGCTTGCAAATTCTTTTATTTCACTAAAGCAAGTTTGCACTTGTGCCAATTTTTACAACTGATTTGCACTTATGACAGTTTGCACTTACGCTAATGTTTACAAATTCTTTTATAGCACTTATGCCAGTTCGCTCTTGTCAATTTTTTCAACTGATTTGCAATTATGCCAATGTTTACAAATTTGTTTGGTGCACTTATGCCAGTTCACACTTACGCCAAGTTTTGCAATTAGTTTGCTCTTATGCAAGTTTACACTTATGCCATTCAGACTTTTGCCAGTTTACACTTATGAAATTTGTCCCCTTAAAAGATAGAAGGAAAAAAAGGTGACTTATTTCAATATTTTAAAGTTGAAAAAGAATTCAGCAAAGTCAAGCAGATCAATCAAATCAAAAAACTGCATCAAGCTACCAACATGGCTGAGTAAGTGGAACAAGAAAAGAAGTTTATAAACTGGCCAGACAATCAACAAAAATTATTCAATGTGAAAATTGCTTTCCAAACAAAGTTATTCCAATTTAAAACAAATTGCCAAACACGATTATTTTAAGCAACACAGTCAATATTTTCAAAAGCACATACATTAAATACAAGAACGAATAATTAAATAACCAATTGACTACCATAGGGGGATATTTAAGGTTGCTTTGTTCCACGGATATAATAAGATACAATCAGACAGAATTAATCTGTTGTAGCCTGCTCTTATTATTATTATTACTGTTATTGTTATTATTTTTGTTAATAATCAAATTATTATTCTTAACTATTATTTTAGTCTTTAAACTCAATTATTTGCGTAGCTTTCAATACTTTAGCCTGTCCAGCTTCTTTTAACCTTAGAGCACAACGGCGTGTTGTGCTCTAATGTTAAAAGCATTGATATTAATAGTGAAATTATTTTTCACGTGAAAGATAATTTCATTTCACTTTGTGAAAAATAATTTCACCATTAATATCAATGCTTATAATGTTCCTTTAAGTTTTTTATTAAAAGATATGCTATTTATTAAATGCGGAGGTCAAAAATGAATGAATTCTGTTACATGAACGGTTTGGAAAGTATTATTAATTTTAGGGAAAAATTCAAGCAAACACAAGACAGCTATATTAGTAGCTCCTTGATCGCAAACTATATTTGTAATGTGCAAAACTGTGTCTTGATTTTTAAAATTAGTTTAATGTAGTAAAAAAGCCAAGTCAGCTGATGATATTGTTGATTTATTTTTAAAATAAGCTTTTTTTTATTTTCATTTGTTTGCTAAACAAAAAACTTTTTTGCAAATTGACACTTTACTTTATTGACATGCTTACTTGTTACTTTTAAAAACTTGTACCGATGGTAACTATTTCCTGCATAATTTCAAAATATTTTTAAGCGCAGTTTTGTGAATCTTTGTTTAGAATTTAAATTTTTTTCTTCTTTCATTTTTAATAACTTCTATATCCATTTTATTCTTATTTTCATATCCTACTATCATATCCATTTTATTACTATTTTATTTTTATTTTAATAACTTCTATATCCATTTTAGTTGATGAGAAGCTGCCATTTAAAGTCTTGCTAGGAGAAATTAAGGTATTTTTTATCCTATAATTTTATTAAAGAATACATTTTTTCCTTTAATTTTTAAAGTATTTTTGCTTTCCTCTTTTATGAAAAAGTTTAATTAAAAATTGAGTTTGAAGGTGTTAATGATATGCTATAGATTTAAAAAGGAAATTAATTATTTTGACTAAATTTCTTCTTCAGTGTCTCGAAATAAGTGATTACTACTAATTAATACTCATAAATTATGTTATCTCTCTAATTATTTTATCTCTCTAACATTCATCTATAAAATAATGATCTAAAAACTTTAAAATTTGAGTTTAAACAGTTTTTATAAATTTAATTTATTAAAAAAACATAATAAAAAATGTATTCAACTCTTGGAGTTATGAAGTTTTGATCATGTACAATTTTGTATTTGAATTTTTTTCTTTCTGTTTCTAACTTTTAAAAGTTATAAAACACTGTAAAAGTGATAAAAATTCATAAAGCAAGCTGGTGAGTAAGTTTTTTGTTATACATAGTCTCCTTCATTTTCAATGAAACTTAGTTTCTCCGCGCAGCGGCCTTGCTTGTCAAGGTTCGTGTTTCGGAGTTAAAGAGTTGAGAGAGGGTTGTACCACGAAATACAACAAAAAAATAAAAAACACAAAAAAATGAGTAGCCTCCTCGACTGTAGTGGCCCCCTCGGGCCTTGGGGAGGTGAATAATGTAAAAAAAAAAAAAAAAAAAAACGATATTTACATGAATGATTTCATAATGAATTTTTCCAAGATTTCTTGGAATTTTATCAAGATTTCTTGAAATTCCGCCAAAAGAAATCTGGAGGTTTTTTTAATAACTTCAAAAAGTATTAAAAATTGAGAATTAATGATAAAATTTTCTTAAATTTCTAATTTTAATATATATGTATTTAAGTTGTTTGTAAAAAATATAATGGCAAAAATATTACACAAAAGATTTTTTATGTCCACTCCTAGTACTTGGGGTGGGGGGTAGGGGGTCCAAAAATCTATATTTCTTGTTTAACCAGTTAATCTTAATTAATTTTTTGAGAAAAGTTTAAAAAACAATTCAGTTTTTGCTAATTTTTTATGGTTGACCTTCTACTTCTATTTTAAAAATTTAATAGATATAAAAAATAAGTCTTTGCAAAAGTTTCTTTGCGTATAAAGTTACGCAACTTTTCTTTCAAATTTATGCTATTCAATTTTTGATTGGATAAATTTGATTTTTAATTGTTGCGTTTTAGAAAAAAAAAGTTTTATCTGAAGTCTATTTCTAAAAAAATGTTTTAAATAAGTAAAACGACAGATTGCTTCAAAAAAAAAGTTTTATCTGAAGTTTCTTTCTAAACAAAACGTTTTAAGTAATCAAAAAGACAGATTGCTTCAAAATATCTTAATTTCCTTTTTTTTTATTTATTTTTAATCGTTATTCAAGCTATCAAGAAGGCTATTCAAGATTTCATTTTTTTTCACTTTTCTTTAATGAAGTCAAGAATAAATCTTCTTTTAAAGTGCCAGTCAGTAGAAGTTCAGTTAAATTCTAAAGTTTTAACAATTCTAAAGATAAACAGTTAGTATAAAGGAACACCGCTACCTAATAGGCTTTATAAAAAACAAACTGGGTGATGAAATTTTGAAATTTTCTGCTTTACTCTAAAACGCAGTGAATAGCTAGTTAAAAAAAATTCTAGAAGCAGTTAATAAGTATACCTCAAAGAGGTTGGATGATTGTATCATTCTTGCTAGAGTATTTTGGCAAAAGTTAGCCTCAGGACTTCAAAAAAGGGAAAAGTATTATGTGTTTGGTTGATGGTGGAATATGATTAGTATTAACTTTCTAATTAAGTTGTTGCAGTTGGAAAGCTTTGGAAAAAAACACATTTAATTTCAACAGTAGATGTATACTTATTTATTTAAACCATATAAAAAATGAAGGTTCGTGCAGTTTAAAAATATTTTGGAGAATTGTTGTCCAGTTATTTGTCCAAAAACTATGGATTATAGTTGAAACCAGCTACAAAAACAAATGGATAACAATCGAAGAGCAGCAAACTTTACATCAGGTGTGCAAGATGAGTTCTGTTTTAGCTTGATTAAAGTTACAAGGCAGCTCATTTAGCTGTGAACTAGACATTATTGAAGTAGATAAAGATATGTTAAAATGAAAAAAAAGTTCGAAAAATGAGGTTCTTTATTTTAGGGATACAATGTAGGTCATTGTCGCGGAGGTCTATTCTGTTTAAATACATGATTGTTGATATAAAGATACAAACCTCCATCTCATGTCTACCAAAGAACACGCTCATAACCTAGATGTTCTATAAGGGAAGTTCAGGCAGCAATCTCTATCACATATGACGACTTTTATAGTTATTTTCCATTTTCAATAGTAAATAACAAACTGTTTGAGTTATTTTCAAATAAAATGCTTAATTTTATTTTGAAATAAAAAATGCTTTTTTGTTACTTATAAGTCATAAGTTATATTATTGATAAATTAAACAGAAAAAGATTTCTAGTTTTCTACTTTTCTTATATTTAATGATAATAATAATTTCATCTATTTTTAACAATGCCTTTTTTTGTCAATATATTCACTTTTATTAAAATCGAAGTAGAAGGCTAAATAATTAAAATGAAAAAAAAATGATTATGATTTTCAGAATCAGCATGAAAAACTATTAAAAAAAATTGGTTAAACTATAAAAAATCTAAAAAAAGACAATTATGGACCCCCCTACTAGTACCTCGCTTCCGCCAAGAACCTCAAGTATTTTCTGGATTTACAGTTCAATCACTAGAGATTTACAGTTCATTCACTAGAGATTTACAGTTCATTCAATACATAGTTAATTTTAGATAAGTACAGATTCACAGTTAAATTAGTACATATTTACAGTTCAGTTTTACATTTTGATCAGTTCATTTACATTTTACAGTTCATTTACATTTTGATCGGTATAGATTTGTAGGTCAATCAGTACAGATTTATTAAATACCCTGGATATAGTTGTTTTTTATACCTGTAAAAATTTATTCAAAACTATAAATTATTCATAATTCAAATAATTTTTTTAAATAACATTTTATCATAATATAATAAAAAATTATTAATTTATTTAACTAATTTATTTAACTTATTTAAATTAATTAAATTATTTTAATAATTAAAAATTATTTAACTAAAAGTCATTATCAACTATTTTAAAAAGGCTCAAATCTCCTACAAACCTCAACCATACGTATTGTATAAAATAGACTTTATTTAAATGATATAAAAGGTTTTTAGGTAAGATAATAATAACGATTATAATAAACAAATGCTATTAGTTTAAAATCATAACAGTCATAACAATTTATATGTTTGCAAATTAAGTTACCCCAGTGACACCGTTTGATACACTCCTAGAAAAAATCCGTTATATACAACGAATTGTATCTGTCGCTATTGCACTAACGGGAAATCCGTTAAGTTAACGAATTAAAGTCCGTTAGGAATAGTCCGTTGAATTTACGGATTTATTTCGTTAGTGCAACGAATAATCCGTTAAAATTAAGGAATAATTACACTAGGCAGCAAATTTTCCGCGGTTGTTATTCCTATGAAATAAATGTGTTAATAAGTTATTTTAATGATTATTTCGTTAAAATCACTAAAATCTAAAATTAGAGAGGCCAGAATTGTGACTTCATAACCAAATAATCCTTATATTTGTTAATGTTTGCATTTTTATTTAATTGCATTATTTTATTTCGATATTCTACATTAAAACGTTTTAACCAAAAATTGAAAACTAATCAAATATTTATAATATTTAATCCAATATACTTTAAATTACAATAAAAATACTTAAAAAAATTTTTTAATACACTATACTCAAGCTAGTACATTTATACAAAAAACACACATATATATAATAGGTGTTTAAAATAAACCAATGCCAAGAGTTTTGGTTTGGTTGGTTTAAATTGGTTTTGGTTTTGAATACTGTTGTTACTCGTACACAGGTTCGCACTTTAAATCGGACACCATGCTGTCAACTCCTTAAAGATTGATATAAAATAAAATAAGGAAAATATGGAAACTTAATAACATACCTAGTATAGAACCAAAATAAAATGTTACTGATAGCACTATAGAAAATGTTTTTGGTAACTCATTATATATAAATTTCTATTCTAAATTTTGTTATTTTAATTATCTCTGATATCGTTTTATAAAGATAAAGTTAAATGGAACAAGTAAATTATATCTTTATTAAAATGTAAATTAAAAAAAAGTATAAGATTACCTTGACATTATCTGATAACTGAAAGACTATACATTTCACATACATCAATACCTATCAGGAGCAAAAAATAAAGTCTCTAACCTTTTAAAAACTATGATAAATCAAAACAAGATTAAATATGCAGACCAAAAAAAACGCAAATAACTATATAAAAAATTAATTTTACAACTTATTTAAACTTACAGTGTCATACCACTTGTCACATGTTTAAAATAGCTAATTCTAAAATAATATTGAATATAGAATATAGTAGAATAATAGTTAAAAAAGTGTGATATAAACTTAGTTTAACTAAACTAAAAAAATATGCATGCCAAAAAAAATGCAAGTTAAAATACAATTTTTTTAAATTTACTAATTCAAAAAAATTTACTGTTTTAGACACGTGGCATGTGGTATCCCACTTACAGTGGGATACCACATGCCACGTGTCTAAAACAAACTAAATATAAGTGGTGTAGTTATTGAAAGGGTACATAGGACCGGAAAAACTGGCACTAATACCACTTACAGTGGGATACCACATGCCACGTGTCTAAAACAGTAAATTTTAAAATAATATAAACACGCCAGATATAAACTTATTATTATTATTATTATTATTATTAATAGTTGAAACTCAACTAAATAAATATGCACGCCAATAGAAATGCAAGTTGCAATATAAATTTTACAACCAATTTAAACTTACAGTATGACAGCTTATACCAAGTGTCTAAAATAGCAAATTATAAACAATATATAAACAAGCCATACACAAACTTAGTTGTAATCTAATTATATAAACATGAACGTCAAAAGAAATGCAAGTTAAAATATAAATTTTTTTAAAATATACTAATTCAAACTTACAGTGGGATACCACATGCCACGTGTCTAAAACAGTAAATTCTAAAATAATACTAACACATCAGATATAAACTTAGATTAAACTCAACTAAATAAATATGCAAGTTACAATATAAATTCTGCAACCAATTTAAACCTACAATGTGACACTAAATGCCGCAGGGTTGGCAAAAACCCGGGTTTTTTTTAAAAAAACCCGGCCCAGTGGGTTTTTTTGGGTTTTATTGGGTAAATTTGGGTTTTTTTGGGTATAATTTTTATTTTGTCTCTGTAAAAAAAAATTTTGTGTTTTTGTTTATTGATATTGAAAATTAGTTTTTTTCTACTTTAACTTTATTTAAATATATTTTATATATTGTTGTTTAATTATTTATAACAAGAATTTTTCAAATTATTTTGAAAAAAATTTTAAAATATAATTTAAAACTGTAATAGGAAAAAAAAATTTCACGCTTAATCTATATGTATTGATTTATTTTAAATTTAAAAGTATTATTTTATATAATTAAAAATGTCAATGAGAAAATGTGAAAAAGAAGGCTTGAGAATGGGAGGTAGTAACTGAAGTTTCAATTAAACTTTGAACTTGAAATTCAAATGAACAAACTTGTTCCTCTGCGCAGCGGCCTTGTTTATAAAGATTCGTGTTTAGGAGTTAAAGAGTTTTTTTTCTTCTTTAAATCAATTCACCTCCTCAAAGCTTATGGTCACTACAGGCGAGGAGGCTACTTATTTGTGGTTATAACCCTCTCTCAACTCTATAACTCCGAAACATGAACTTTGACAAACAAGGCCGCTGCGCGGAGAAAGGAGTTGAGCGCGGTACTGCCAGGGACGTGGTGGGGATCAAACTCGGAACCTCTCACTTATGAATTGAGCGCTCTACCACAACACCACTACCGCAAAAGAGTTGAGAGAGGGTTGTAACCACAACAAGGGAGCCTCCTCGACTGTTGTGTTGGGTTCTCTGGTCACTACTACTCATTTAAATTCAACTTGGGAGGTGAACAACATTATGTAATAAAAATCTCAATCGATAAAAATATTTGAATAAAAATTGTAATAATGTATTTCCAAATAATGATTCAAATAATAGTAAACCTGCTCTGATAGCTGTTATTGTTGGTTATAATAGTTAATAATAATAGTTAATAATAATTAAGTTAATAAAAATAGTTAATAATTATTTTAGTAAATAATATTATAGTTATAATGTTAAAGTTGGTTATAATAGTTCATAAACTTATTAAATATCTTTAAAAAAACCCAATAAAACCCAGATTTTCCAGGGTTTTATTGGGTTTTTTTAGGCGGATTTTTTTGGGTTTTATTGGGCGGGTTTTTTTGGGCGGGTTTTTTAATGCCAACCCTGAAATGCCGTGCCTCTAAAGCAGCAAATTCTAAGATAGTATAAATAAACATGAATGTTAATAGAAAAAGATGTTAAATATAAATTTTACTTCTTTTATAATAATATAATTTTTTTAATTTTACAACTAGTTTTAACTTACAGTGGGATAACAAATGCCATGTGTCTAAAACAAAAAATTCTAAAAATAATATAAACACACCAGTATAATCTTAGTTTATGATATTGGATGCCACATGTTTAATTTGGAAATTAATAAAAATTGCAATTTATAAAAGCATATTAACTAGCCATGTAAACTTAGCTGTAGCTAACCTAAATAAATATACATATCTTAGCTGTAGCTAACCTAAATAAATATACATATCAAAGATGTTAACATTTTTAATTTTACAACTGATTTAAACTAATATGGTATGTTACTACATGTCATATGTCTAAAATATAAAGTTAAACAAGACTATAAATAATCCATTTAGTCTATATTATAGAAATAATTGTTCAACTAACCCTTTACTACTAGTAAAGGATTAGTTGAACTTTTATTTCTATAATATAGACTATATGGATTGCATATATTCTTGCATAATTTTCTAGATTTAGACATGTAGTAACTTACCATATATTATATGTATTAACTTACCATATATGTTATTAAATATTATTTAGTAATATTAATGGCTTTTAATTTAAAATAAAATAAACCTTATTGTTAAATTTTCTGTATAAAGCTTTATATAGAAAATTTAAAATAAGTTAAATAACCTTCGAAATAACATAGCGTAATTTAAATTATATTTATCCATTTGCTTTGTCTACTAAATGTAAAGCTTTTTAAAAAATGGCATATTAGACTTACTGCAATCAACTTTTATCTACTATGTAAATGTAAATGTGAGAAAAACGCATTCAAAACTTTATCATTTTCAAAATAAAAAGATATAATATACTGAAATTTTTTTTTTGACCGATTAGAATATTTAATCCGTTGAATTAACGAAATTTCAAAGAATCCGTAAATAGTTAATTTTTCTCCGTTAATTTTCTGGTTTTTGGTAACGAATTAATCCGTTAATTTGACAAAAAAGCGCAATTCGTTACTTTTTTTAACGGACTGTTTTTAGAGTGTAGTAACTTAAAGAATATTTTAAGCTGGTTCTGTCTCTCAGTATGAAAATGTAAGTTTTTTTGATATACTTTGGTTGTTTTAGGTGTGCTTATCTAACGAATTACATCGATCGGTTTCATCTGCTAAAAATCTTCAATGCCATAACCTAAGTTCGATAAGGTATGAATCAAAACAAAAGCTTTGTTTTACCCTTAGTTGGAATATTTCTCTCAGCGAAAACGAGATCTTTCCAAAATGTTTTGATATCTTTTGTTCTGGAAATATCACTGAATCGAATGCTACGTTAGATGATATAAACTTTGGTTGTTTTATTGGCAGATCTTACAACAATTCATACTGTGTAAATGAATTAATTGTTCCACTTGTGTGTGGAGCAGGTATTATAATTACAGTACAAGGTGTTAGCGAACTAAATACTCGACAAAATTATGATGAGTGTGCCCAAGTTTTAATCAAATGGCCATGAATGTAATCAATTGTGTGTTTTAAATTTTTGTAGAATGAATAAATTTTAAATGTGTTGTTTAATGACGTATGGTACGTTTTGATTTATATTAATTATTGCGTTACATGAGATTAATTTTTTGAAATTTTAAAGGTTTTTTAAAATAAATTTTAAGTTACCTTTGATATCAATAATCTCAGTTTTTTAAGAATTACAGCAAGGTGTCAATGATATTGGATTGCAAAAAATATTAACTCTAATATTTAATAATATTTAAAGTATAAAATAATTATTATTTATAATATTTATATTATATTATATACTAAATACTTTCTTAGCACAACAGTCAAATATTTGACAGCTAAGAAAAGTTTACTAATAAGCATTAGTATGCTGTTAGTTGTTTGTTTCGATATATTATTTGGTATTGATGATATTATTCTAAAAACTACGCCTGCCTATAATAATATTTCCAGAAAATGTATATTATGTTTACAAGAAAAATTTGAACTTATTACTCATTTGGATCAAGAAAAGTTATTAAACAATTTTTAACAAATTAATCCATACAGAATAAATAACCTTGTAGAATTCCACTTTCCTCGGAGCTTTATTCAGAACTGTTCAGGCTTAAATTGTCGTCATAAAAAACTGAAAATAAATCTATACTAATATTTACTTTAACCTCGTGTCAATTTTTGTTTACTTTTATGCATAAACTCAACGGTTTCCGTAAAAACCTACCTACTTCTGAGCAATGGGAAAAACTCTACGGCAAACGAAATTATTTACCTCCTTTTGAGCCATGGGATCGTCTGCTAACCATTATGCCGGTAGCTTGGTTTTCAAATGTAACACCAAATAAAACGCCATTTAGATAACGGTATAACAAAATTTTGCATTTATATTTATATAACAGCATTTTGCTGTTACTTTTGCTGTTATTTAAAATAATATGAAAGCATAAGGTAAAAAAATAACACAATAATGACACAAAATAACACCATTTATGCTACTATATCGTGTCCCAATGCCGTTATATTTTTGTTAAATATAACAGCATAATTTTATTTGTGTGTATTAAATCTAAAGGGTGCTATATGGATGTTATATGTTTTAGTTGGCTGTTAAGCAGAAAAGAAGCATATCATTCGGATCATTTAAAGTCTGCTGCAAAATGCACAAATGCTGTTATTAACATTGCTGTACCAAATAGCAATTGGGGAAAATATACAGTTTGTATACTTGGAGGATCAAGTATTTTTTTAATGCTATTTATAAATGGAAATAAAATATGAATGCAACATTTGTCTTAAAATTTTTTATAACTTTTTTATCTGTTATAATCATTTTAGATGATTTTAACCTAACTACATCAATGATTGATAAGTTGTTATATACATCAAGTATAGATGTCCCAAAAAACCCATTTCAGTTAGTGCAACAAATACACAAAATAGTTATTAAGTAAGCTCTAATTTACTTTCACTTAATTTATCTTTAAATGCTACAGCTCTAGTGCCTGACGAGAGCAACAGCTCTGCACACTCAATTTCAATTCAATTTAAAGTTTTAAATTCAGAATACGAGGATAGCCAAAATCAATCCCATTTATTGGCAAACGAAAGAATTTTAAATAATTGCTTATATCCCAGGATCCCGGTATACGTAATTTATACGGGGGAGGGGCTTCCACATTAACTTGGCACAGGGGCCACACTAGAATAAATCCGACACTGATTTGGAAATGATTGTTATATAGCTCAACATATATAGGTCACAATCAACATAAGGAAGTTAGTTAAAGGTGATTCAAAAGGTAATGTAAATTTTCGCGACAACAATAAACTACCATAATGTAATATTCCAAGGTATCGTAGAAACTGTTTTCGTATTCTTTTTAATAATTATTTCATTTTTATGAAGCATTATAAAGAAAAAGAACATTTTTTTTGTTAAAACAGTAAAATGTATGAGTTCACAAGCAACATTTTAAAACCTTTTCTATAACAACATTTAAGTTGTCATTTCTAGACTTGAAGGAAAGAGTCAAGTAGGGTTGAGCTGGGTAAAGGATAACTTAATGTATCTATTGGTAAAATATTACTTTTGCTACCAATACAATTGAGGATCAAGCTTAAAGATATTGTCTATAAAATGATGCTCTATAAAATGGTTGATTGCGATAGTTTACCGGTAAGTTAACTTATAAAAACATCAAGTTATTATTTACCAATTTTATTAATTTTACCAAGCTCATCCCTAGTATCAAGTATCACCCCTGTATCAAGTACCACCCCTAGTATCAAGTATCCCTAGTACCATGTTTTTAAAGATCAATTTACCTTTAAAGTAAAAAACAGTATCCCTAGTATCATGTTTTTAAAGATCTATTTATCTTTAAAGTAAAAAATAAATATAGTTTGCGAAGTAATAACTATTTAAAGGAACCCTTTTGTCAAACAAAGTTTAATTTTGTATAGATTATCGAGCACCTTATATCTGGAATATAATTGTACAGCCTAATTTAAATACATCTATCTCTTTTTATGTTTTTAAAAACAAATTAAGGAATATTATTTTTTCAATGGATAATATATTAAAATATTTTTGAGATATTATTTTAACCATTTCTTACTTCAAATGTTTTGGATTCTTATTTTGTTATAAACTACCTTATTATTTTTTATTATATTTAAATTGTAATTTTTATATGGTTCTCGCGACAAGATCAATATGATCTTCTTCCAGATTCCAAGTTTATATGTTTAAATTACATTTAAATCACGAAGTATCATCCCTAGTTGATACTAGGGATGATACTTCGTGATTTAAATGTAATTTAAGTTACGAAGTACGCAATCGAGAAAAAACGAATTTTTTAAAAAATTAATTAGTTAAAATTAATAAATAAATGAATAAGAATTAATAAAAATAACAAATTGATATAGTAAAATTAATAAGATTAGTTTTCATTTGATTTTTAATCAACTTTTTAATAAGTAATAAAAATTCTCTGCAAAATTAAAAAAACAACCTAAAATTAAAAAAATAATAAAAATAATGAAAAAAATAATTGAATTTAAAACAAACTGTTAATTTTTACCCCAGTTTGTATATGTTATAATGTGTACAGTGGCGTAAAAAATATTAGAATATTAAAGAATATTAAAAAATATTAGAATCGTCTAAAAGCTTTACCAATTTATCAGTTCAAAGAATATTATCGTACGCAACCTAGATCTTTGAAAGGTAGAGTTACAAATTCAAATTGATAGCAACTTTGCTGAGCATAATCAGACTCATTTTGTTTAGTCAAGTCGGTGATAACTTTAATAAAAAGTGTTTTATTTTTCTTTTGTGGGCAAGAAAATAGAAGTTAAACAAACTTGCAAAGTCAAATTGATTCTGGCGTTAATCAATGAAAGGGCATATGACCCTTAAATCCAAAAGTGCCGATAATTAAAAAATGGAATGCCAAAACGTGTTGAAAAATTTTTAAACCAAAATATGCATCAAAAAAAACATTTCAAGAATTTACAAACTATTTTAAAACTTAAAAAAGCATAAAACTATTGTTTTATGCTTTTTTAAGTTACTGATTTTAATATTTTTTACACCACTGTATACTTAAATAGCTTAAGTTACAAGCTAATAAACCAAAAAACTCAACCAATAAACATTTTTTATGTCAAATAAAAGACTTCCACTTCTTGAACCCTTAGTGGTATATCTGAACCTAATAAAAGAAAACTTCTGATAGTCAATGAATACGGAAGTATTTTATCTTTATATCTAGCTTTATACGGTTCCCCATCTTTATATATTCCTGAGCTTTCATGTTGGTCTTCAAAGACAAGTTGGTCTGAACCAAAACAAGGATATATTCTTCCATACTTTTGGGTCTTTGAACAAAATTGCTTGTTATTAAGATTTTTGATCTTCAATATATTATCTCGATAAGTACTAAACACAAATGTTTTGATGCTTGACGAATATTGCGCATCTGAATTAAAAATTGAAACACTGACAAGTTCTGATTCTATGCACTTATAACTTAACGTTAATAAAAAAACTACAACGCCTTTACACTAAACATTATTCAAACTTTAAATAATTATTATTATACAAGACTTTGACTTGCTTGTTAAACAAAGTTTTAACTTTAATAAACAAATAAAACTAAGATAATATAAAGAATTATGTACTTACTACTTCAAGGAGTATTGGTAAACCCCCCTAAAATCCAACTTTTATCTCCTTCCATTTTGACTACAAGCAAAGTATTTTTCATAGAATTGCACGGTTCAAATACAAGCCAAGGGGGTGGTACCTTTACACAAGCCGAGGGGGTAGTAGACTAGTGAAAGAACACTAGACAATCAAGAAATTTAAGGTTCAAATTCACTCTTTTCAAATCCACACAAAGCAGAGGTTAAGCGCGGTACTTCTTTCTAGAAGTACCGCACTTAACCTCTTCTTCTGCACAGCGGCCATTATTATCAAGAGTCGCGTTTCGGAGTCTACGAATTGAGAGAGAGTTCAAGTTAGCAAAAAAATACGCATGAGTTCAAAGTAGCAAAATATATACATACATACATAAATACGTACAAACATATATATATATATATATATATATATATATATATATATATATATATATATATATATATATATATATATATATATATATATATATATATATATATATATATATATATATATATATATATATATATGTGTGGAGTGTTGGAGTTGGTTAGTTTATTATATAAGCAAAAAAAAGTACTTTTCATACTGATTAATGTATAAAAAAACTTACATATAAAACTTCGTATCACAGAAACTCTATCAACTGTTGATACACCGTCAGTAAAATCACATGAGTTTATACCACTTTTAGTAACTTGTATTGTAATATTATAAAAACGTTTGGTTTTTATTTCTGTATGTTCAATAGTTTCACCAGTAGTTAAAGATCGCCAGTTTCCAGACATTTGTTCTGTTCGTCCAAATGAACCACACCAAAGTGTAATGGGGAAGCCAAAAACAACAGACCCAGCTGGAGGTCTATAAGTAATTTTTA